TTTTATATTGAGGAACAGGTGGCATTTTTAATTCTATTTGTTTCAAGATAAAATTTAAAATATTGATGGTTGGAAAATGTGCATGCAGAAAACTTCACAAAAAGCAGTAACCGTGGATAAAACTAAACTCTTTTCTCACTGTCTGACAATTAAATAGCTGGCTTTGAGTTTTAAAGAGTTTTCCAGAATAGTTCCTTTTCCTGTTTGCAAACTGTTCTGTAGCTGTACTTAATCAGCTCTGTGGTTAGGACTGCTGACAGAAGGGGGTGCTTTCATTTTTAACTGTGTCATATTGTTAGCACTGGTAACCTCCACCCCTTTCCAAAGACCAGGAACTGTAATGGGGCAGGCTTTGGTCTTTGGATAAACCCAGTGCTTTTGAGTGGAATGGAATGGAATATGATAGAATAAAATGCATAGCATAGCATAGCATAGCGTAGCTTTTGAGTTGGAAGGGACCCTTAAAGGCCATCTGGCCCAACTTCCCTGCAGTGAACAGGGACACCTACAGCTCCATCAGGTACTCAGAGCCCCGTCCAGTCTGACCTTGGGTGTCTCCAAGGATGGGGCATCCAGTCTGGGCAACCCGTGCCACTGCCTCATCACCTTTATTGTAAAAAACCTCTTCCTTGTGACCAATCTGTATCACCCTTCTTTTTGTTTAAAACCATTTCCCCTTGTCATGTCACAGCAGACCCTGCTAAAAAAAAGTCTGTTCCTTCCTTCTTGCAGCCCCCCTTTAGATATTGAAAGGTAGCACTCAAGTCAGCTGGGAGCCTTCCCTTCTCCATGCTGAACAGCCCCAGCTCTCTCAGCCTGCCCTCATAGGAGAGGTGTTCCATCCCTTGGATCATTTTTGTAGCCCTCCTCTGCATGCACTCCAACAGGTCCACTTCTCTCCTGCACTGAGGACTCCACATCTGGATGCAGTACTCCTGGTGAGGCCTTACAGCTCAGAGCAGAAGGGCAGGATCACCTCCTTCACTCTGCTGGCCACACTGCTTTGGATGCAGCCCAACGCAGGTTTGCTTTTTAGGCTGCCAGGTCCCATTGCTGGCTCATGTCCAGCTTCCCATCCACCAGGTCCTTTTCGGCAGGGTTGTATTATATCCTTACCTCCCCCATCTGTTTTGTACATGGTAGCATTATAGCTGTGTAGCTTGTCTCATTTAAAAATAAGCAATCTCTGTTTTGAAAGCACTAGAAGACTATTTATTGTTTTGATAGGTTCTAAAATCTTTCCAAGCCAATTCACTGGCCACAGAATGAAGGGGCAATTCATTTCCATGGCAATGCCAACTGAATTGCTCCAGAAGAATGGATCTTTACCCGGGTGGGTGCTGGTTGCCATCCGGTAACCGTGCAGCCAGCAAGTGATCTTTGTGCTACATAACCATAAAACTAGAAGTTTTCATTCACACTCGTTTTTTCTCTGCATTCTTTAGAAGCTTCAGAAGTTCAGGGTTTCACATCTGGGGGATAATACTGTTTCAAGTACCCAAAGATGTGCAGAACTGCAGCTGAAAAAAGATGCTCTCTTCCAAGGGCTTCTCTCACGTTCAGCTGTTGGTTCTTCAGCCTGAGCCCACTTGGAGAAAAATGCTGCTTATCCAGAAGTTGATGAACTGACATCTGCTTTTTTTCTTTCAGTAGTCCAGTGATCTAAGAGAAGAAAGTTATAAGCCATAAGGATTTTTGTACTTTTGTGTCTGCTTATACATAGATTTTGTGTCTTATAAAGCTTAGGATAGCTTTTAGATAGTTGTTTTAAAGATATGGATAATAATCATCCTTAACATGAAAATAAATTGTTAACGAGACTTGTTTTTTTCTTTATTTAAAAAATGAATTACTGGGGAGAGTAAAATGAATTTCTGTAACAAGTTACATGAATGGTCTTGCTGATTATGTTCACTTTCAGGCACTTCAGATAACAGCTTTTCATACTGTTTGTTTATATTTTTTTCTCATTTTGCATGAGCAGTAATGGAATAGAAATATATTTGACTATGTAATGAAATGAACTTACTGTGTACCTCCAGAAGAAACATGCACTGCTAGAAGTAGTTCCACTCTTTGCAAGGAAACTCCACCAGTTATTTCATTTTTTTTTTTTTAAAGTAAGCATTAAACAGCTTTTTTTTTTTTTTTTCCAGCACAACTTGGTGAACAGTCTTAGCTGAGACAGTTGTCAAATTAAGTAGGAAGTCTGCAGTGAGTAGTTTCAAAACAAACAACAAAAACACAAACAAAGCATCCAAAGTATTGCCATTTTTGCAAACATTTATTTTTGCTTCTCCTAGCTTTTAGAAGATCTTTTCTTACACATAGTCTTTGATGTTGTTTGGTTTTGTTTTGTTTTAACAAGCTGAATAATCTGTAACACATGGCACCTCTCTAGATTTAGGATCATAGAATGGTTTGGGTTGGAAGGGACCTTTAAGATCATCTAGTTCCAATCCCCTGCTATAGGCAAGGACACCTCCCTCTAGACCAGGTTGCTCAAAGCCCCATCCACCTGGCCTTGAATGCTTCCAGGGGGGGAGCATCTACAGCCCCTCTGAGCAACCTGTTCCAGCTTCTCATCACCCTGACAGTAAAGAACTTCTTCCTAATATCTAGTCTAAATTTACCCTCTTCCAGTTTAAAGCCATTTCTCCTCATTCTGTCACTACATGCCTTTCAAAAAAGTCCTTCCGCAGCTTTCCTGCAGGCCCCCTTCAGGTACTGGAAGGCTGCTATAAGTTCCCCTGGAGCCTTCTCTTCTCCAGGCTGAATTTATTATTTGCCAGGACCTTGAAGTGGGAAGAAGAGACAACGTTATCTCAGCTCAAGAGTTTGGAAACTAGTAGCAGTGAATATGTGGATTGGAATGGACAAAAAAGACAGGTCTCTCACTGAGTATTGGTGCATATCCTCAAGGCAGTTTCAAACGGAATAATTTCAATCCCCTATGATACATCCCAGTATTTTCTTGTGCATGCAGTGTTCATTCCCATTTCAGTTGTTGAAAACGCATTGTCATGAGCTCATCCGATTGGGAAACAGAGCTTGATTCACTTTCAGGATTGCAGTGACCTTCTTACCACCTCTTTGGTATTGGGACTAGATAGTCTTTAAGGTCACTTCCACTTCAAGCTTTTCAAGCACTTTGATTCTCTGATGAGCAGACAGAGCTGGTTGTGTCCCAAACTCAGGGCACAGCCACAGAAGGATGGGGAGTTCCCAACCCTTTGTGCTGGGGTCAGGATGCAGAGGCTGCTCTGACAACAGGCACAGCCATCCACAGCAAGAAGGGACAGAAGGGTTGGCACTCTCACTGCACAGCTATTGGTGCTTTTACTTCTCGTCTGCTGAAGAGCTGCTGGTGTGTTCATTTCAAAAAAGCCACTACAGTTAGGAAGCAATTATACTGAATTTTAGGTTTTGAGTGATTTGTGAGAGATCTGTGACAATGGGAATTGGAGATCCAGTGAGATACTGGTTTTTTTTCTTAGAGCTGTATACAATGTTGAAGTGTAAATGTGAGAAATTTGTAACACGATGCAGCTTGTGTAGTGGCCACATATTCAGGTCTCTGAAATATGTGCTGAAAAATCAGGTTGGATTCAGGGCAGGATGAGCAGAAAACTGATTTGGAGGATCTGTAATCCAGGAGCATAGAATAGTGCAGCTCTTAATCTGAAGTTTGCACACTAGTTTATTGACAGGGCAAATAAGTAGTTTGAGCTGCTTTATTAGAGCGTGTGACATCTCTGTTCTTATGTTTTGCATGTGTAGTGTTTTAGATCAACTTGTACTAAATTGTATTAAAGTGTTGCTGTAAAATTTTCTGGCTAAAAAGGACTGAAATCTACTTTCTCTGTGGTAAAGATGTAGCATGAATTATTGCCATGGACTCCTTTCCTTAAGCCTTGTTTCCATGGTTCATTAATTGGACAGAGCCGTTGTTGTTCATTTGGTGTGTATTTTCTCAATGCTCTCACATGCAAACTTCAGGTTTGCTGCTAGAGAATATTCAACACTGGGTTTTTTAGATCCCTCTTGTATCTACTGCCATGTGGCATCTTTGGTGGAGAAAAATAGACATGTTGGCATGAATGAAAATGTACTGTGCTGCATTAACCAGATGCTGTCTTGGATAACTAAGTATTTTGGATAAGGTTAATACATTTAGTGTAAATCAGTAAAGGAATGGAATACAGAATGATATGCAAATTTCACTAGTTAAAACTGGACATAAGGATTCAAAGAACAGTGAGGCAGGTAAGAGTTGGCTGAAATTGGGAGGACAGTGAGATGTCCAGGAAGAATCAGGAGATGACTGCTGAGATTAACAGAGGACTGGCTGCCAGCTGCTTTAGCTAGTGGCACTATGCATATTTTGATGACATTAGCTGATGAATCAAAGTTGGGAATGAGTCCCAATAAGGAGTTTTAGAGATTGGACCAGAAGAAGCAAATGATACCAAAGGCTGAAATAATAAATATTTAATGGCCCAGCTTCTACATCAGTTTCACATCGTTTGCTCAGGAAACAAGTGAAAAACATCTCGTGTGTGATGGGCATGGATGAACTGCATGCTAGTTGAGTGACAGGGGCTGCAAATATGATACCAATATGAGCAAGGAAAAGACTAGGAAGGTTTTCCAGCAGAGGGAAACCACTGATGTGTTTGTGGAAGTGTTGGAGCACTGCAAGAGGTCTAGTTGCTTTTGTTTGAAGACAGCAGCTCTGAACTGACAGAGCAGAGGAAGACTGCCAGGCTGCCTTGTATGATGTGTTCAACTTGGTACTGCATTGTACCAAGGAACGGGCTTCCCTCATCATCATCATCTGTGCTTGATGTGTAGGCCTGCTGTAGGAGTTCGTGTGTTTACTTCTCAGTGAAATAATTTCATTTTGAACATAGTCTTGTGCATTCAGCATCGCTGGTTTGTTTTCATTCGTAGTTACTTTTTCATTCCTCCTCACATGTGTTTTGTTTTTTCTTTCATAGAACGGTTCGTGTCTGGCTGAAGAGAGACAGTGGACAGTACTGGCCCAGCATATACCATGCGATGCCATGTAAGTATAAGGAAATGTTCATTATCTACTGTGTATTTGCACAATGTCTTTTTTTATTTGATTAAACTTAATGTTTATGGCCATTTGTGGCCTTACCACTTCATATTAAATTCAGTACTTGAGTAGCTCTCACGGTTTCTGTGAAGCTTTACCAAGTTGCATGCTAATGTTCCCGAGGGGCATCAGGGATTACAGCAGCAAAAGCATACAAATATGCTAGGAAGGGATGAGCGTTTATGTGAATATGGATCAACAAATGTGGAAGCTTGAAATGTAGTCCTGTGTTCCACCACTAATGGAGTCCATAAAGCTTTGTAAGTCTCCAGTATAAATCACTGCCCTTACTACTGCATGTGCTCAGTCCATTAGAGTACAATGGTAAATGGTTTTATTTGATAATAACTTAATATCCTGCAGTAGCTAATACAATAGAGGGCATACTAGACAGAGAAGGCTGGTTTTCCAGTGGAGGAGCAGAATCATATTACCCCACAATTAGATGACGAAAACCAAGCCTTCGTCATGAATTTCTCCAGTATCATCTACTGTAGGTCTTCTGTCCCAAAGAGGGTGTTCATGCTTTGAAAGAAAATGCAGATTAATGTCCATTTTTCCTAGAGGTGGTTGAAGAGACTACTGCCCTGTCATGACCTGTATTGAGTGCAGGAGAAAACTTTGCAGGCCATCTGCAGCAGAAATATGCTGATGCTCCTCAGTTAACTCATATGTGCTGGGCTAGCTTGTCTCTAGAAAGCAGATCAGGGAGCATTTGTCAAGTCCCATTGAGGCAATGTTACTGTCCGGAGAAAGTAGTATTTTAAGCTAATGTTAGATTTGCAAGAGGATTTCTATCTCCATGATGCAGAAAATGTTTAGTACGTATAAATGTTAAACAGTTCTAGTACCATGACATCATCAGTTTGGGGCCATAGAGTGGCCTCAATGTTTGCTTGCCTGCTCCAGGAAAGCATTCCTTTGCTAAATAGAGAGAAAGTTCTTTTTTTTTTTTTTTTCCTTTGCTGATGGATGGACTCATAAGAATATGTCAAGCCTCAAAGGTATTTTCTGATCAAAATTTTGCTCAAAAGGTATTGGAAAGCAGCTAATGATGTGGCAGACTGTGGACCTCTGTAACAATAAGTAGCCATGGCTTTGGTTTCCCTCATCTGTCCAAAGAGGTCTGCTTCCCTCAGACAAACTGTTATGAAGTGGCACTTCACACTTTAAATCATCTTAGCTCTTCCACTGATTGTAGAGAAGCTGCATTATTGCCAGTAATAATAGCTATGCTGGAAAAGATTGAGTAGATCCAGACCCACTCAGAGGGGGCTCTTTTAGAGTTCATGAATCTGAGCACCTGATGCTGTTCTTTCACTTCACGCTGGTAAATTTTTGAGTCATGAGACATTTACATTGTACTGAGTTATTCACCAGGTTCAAGAATGATCAAGTATAATTAAACATTGGAGCAATGCCAATTAAGTTATCAGCCATGGCTTTATGCTTTAAAATCATAGGGAGGGCTCTGAGTTAGCCTCTGCGCGGGCATGCATTTGCGTTTTGTCTGTTTCTGCATGGATCACCTTTTTGGATTGTCCTCTGCTTTAGGTTCACGTTGTTTTTTGCTGTCTAGAGAACAACAGAGGTTCTTTTCAGAAGAAAAATAGTAGGCATGATGATGCTTTTGTGCTGCTTAGCAAGCTGTGAGAATGGCAGTCCCACCTACAGATTACCCATTAGCGTGACTCATGGCTGGTTACAGTGCTGCGTGACCCACACCCTTTCATAATTTGTTGTTAGGTAGTCTTAATAACTGAGATTGCAGACAGAATCTCTGGGAGGTTAGGAGGATGAGGCATTGAGGCTGAGCCAGCCATATGCTTTGCTCAGACTCTGCCAACCAATGGAGCCATCAGTGCGTTCTGAATGTGAAGCCCATTAAATAGCTGCTCAGTAGGTTCTTCCAACTAGGGACATTTTTGCTATTTAGGAGTGGGCTTTCCTCAGTTACAGAGTTTTCTGCCCAACCCGTGGGTGTTTCAGAAAATAGTGGACAACACAGCAGCCCCATTTTTGAGAAAGAGTGAGCTGTGAGGTCATTGCACAGCCAAGCCTTTGCAAAGAGAAGGGTAATGGAAACACCCCGTGGCAGATATCATTTCTGTGGTCTTTTGCTGGCTTTCTCAGCCAGAGTGTCACAGCAGCATTAAGCACCAGAAGGCCTTTGATAAACACTTGACAGAATGTGGTGATGGATGCTGGTAGCTGGAGGTGGTGGAGCCACTGGTAGAACTCAATCTGCTTTCAAGAACCACCACAGGCAGAGCCACTATCAAAAATACACAGTTGTGTTGTCAGTAAAGCAAACTAGGTAAGCTGAATATCTGACAACTTCATGTCAGAGTTGTCTGAACAACTCGTGTTAACAGTGGACCTCTGAGCAGGTTAATCCTCATGGTTAGGTGTGTGATCTTTACATTTTTTGTTAGTATCTGCACAGGAGGAAAAAAAACCCACCTTTTTACAGAATTATGAGAAGGTATCATAGTCAATACAAGAAAGCTTTGCATAAAAATGAATGACCACAGTAGATCCAAACCCAACCAGAAAAAGCCTCTCGCAGATGGAGAACTGAGTAAAGGTTTTATCACAATGGAATACCCAGGGTTTGAGGCAGATAGTACATGGCCTTACGGTGTTTTTTTTTAGCTAACACTTTGCATTGAAGCAGATGGTCAAAACTGTGCAAAGCAAAACACAACCCTTAGGTCTTCCATTTTGCCACTTCTGGCCCTCTGAAAATGCAGGTATAAAGTCTGTATTTGTCTTCCACTTCTGTCAGCTTCTAATTGAGGAGACTCGTTGTTTAGAGCATGAAGGAATTCAAGATTTCTGTTTTCAAAGGCAAAAAATCATAGCACTATTGTGTATTTGCCCTATATGTAAGAATACAGCCAGACTTACATGTCAAGAATATCCAGCCCATCAGATCAGATCAAGCCTCTTGCAGTGTGAAATCCAAATCATAGCTAGACGTTAAAGTGGAGAGTCTTCAAAGTGCTGTTATTTTTCCTCGGTATTATTTTAAAGGGCTCTTTAACATCTTAGAAAATTAGGGCTTTCTTTTTTCTTTTTTTTCTTTTTTTTCTTTTCTTTTTTTTTCTTTTTTGTTCCCCTCCTTATAATGAGCCCAAGTGCTTAAGAAAGTGTCTAACTTTCATGTAAAGTACAAGCTGCTGCTGTCTGGTTGCAACTGGTGCCATTTCAATTGCATTAGTGCAGCTAGGGCTGATGTTCATTTTTCCAAGAGTACGTGTTATTTAAGAATTCCTTTAGGAACATGATTATAGTGAAGTATCTTCACATTGCTGTGACAAAGAACATGTGGGTTTGGAACTCAAATGTGGCCTTTATTTAGCAGCGTGTCTCATATTTGCTTGTAGCTTTTGTATCTGAAGTGCTTTGAGTTATCTGGAAGAAGCATACTTTAAATAGCTAATTTAACTGAGTTTTTCTCTGTAAACTGTTTGTCATCTTCAGAGTTACTGATAGTTTTTTCAACATATGCACACTGTTTGACATTTTAAAGCTGGAATGTTGAATATGCCTGTTTTGGTATTAAGTGCCTTTTAAAAGGGTATGATGTTTACTTAGAATTGCTTTGTCTCTGTCATTTTTTTCCTACAACATCCTAATTCCACTATGATCTGGAAGTCTCAGTATCATAGCAGTGTCCCACCATATGAAGGGAAGCTTTGAGTTTGCCTTTTCTGAAGAAGAGGTACAGAAAGGAATGATTTCATTACTGTTAGTAGCCATAATGTAGCATTTCTGTTCCAGCAGTTCCCTTGAACTGAAGCCTTTTCTTTAATTTAATTCTTTGATGTGAATGTGATTGGCTTCCTGCTTGCAATTAGTTATCCCTTAGGAAATGTATTAGGGGTGTGCAGTGCTAGAGGTAGAATAGTTCTGTTAAACAGGCTTTCCTTGCTGTGATATAGCTCAGCTGCTAACTAACAAAGATCTGCTGAGCTATGAGCTGTACAACTGTAGGTAAGACATTGTTCAAATGGAGAATATAGCAAATACATGGCACTGTAAAACAAAGAACTCTGAGTCTGTTACTAACAAAACCACTGCATGTAATCACAGCGGAGAGAAGAAACTAAAAAGGAGGGGAAAAGAATTAAAAGCACGTCTGACTGCACTCAACATCTATTACACAAATATGGTTTGATCAATGGTCTTACCACTACAGAAAGGGGATGGATGCCTGTCCCTAGTCACAGTGCTGAGAAGTGATTACTGAAGGGTTCTGTGGGGACAGCATGCTGCTGTGCTGGATGGTAAAAGCAATCCCTGCCTTCTAAATGCAGCCTCACAGTATCTTGATTAAACCAAGCATATCACTTGAGTTATTACAAGAAAAGTCTGATTTTACCCTGTATGCAAACCTCTCTATATCCTAGGGGGACTGATTTATGAGCAGTTTAAGAGTGTATCCTGATATTTATTAGTGTTGATCTAAGAATCAGTGGCAAGTTTTCCACGGAGTCTTGTATTTTGGCCATAGTATGTGATACTGTAATAATGTTGTCTGGGGAAATGACCACAGAGCAGTTGGACTGACTGCTCTTTGTACTGACTGGTAGGTCAGCTCCTGTTAACAATGAGTCAAGTTCACTTTCTTACTGCAGGTGTAGGATGTGAGTCTTTGCCAGCATTTTCTTTTACTGCTGATAAAGGGCAGGCAAATGGCTTGGTTTTGTTTTGTTTTTATAAAAACTGCCCAAATTATTCAGCTAAATAAATATAAAATGTGTACTGAAATGTCAGGTACCACTCATATGGATATACCAGCACAGTTCTTGTATAACATGCCTCATGCCCACTTTCAGAAAGCATTCGTAAGGAAAAATGAAGAAACTGGAGCAATAAATAACTGTTAATCCATGCCCTAATAGGATAGGATGAATGAATGGCACAAAAAGGCACTGTTGTTTTTTTTAAAATGTTTATCTATTGGAAGGGGGCAAAATGATGAAGCACGGTGAAGCATGCTGGCTAGTTTTAGCTTTCCAGAACTTCAAGAAAATCGCAGTTTTGTTAACTTCATCATCATGTTCATTTTTTTCAGCTCCATGTTCATGCATGTCTTTTAACCCGGAAACCAGAAGGCTGTCCATAGGTCTAGACAATGGTACAATCTCAGTAAGTACATACAAAGATTTCTAGTTGAAACGCTTCCCTTTCGAGAAGTATATGTGTGATGGGGTGAGGATATTTTTGCTAGCGTTCGGGAGAGAGAATTTTTACTGCAGTGGATCTAAAGCTGTAGTGTGGAAAGTGATAGATTACTCCAAATTTTTCTCCAGCCCTCACATAAAGATTGAATGGAGTTTGCAATATTTATTAGGCAACTAAACAGACAATCTTAATTTGCATCTATCTTAAAAAAATAGCAAAAAGAACTAAAGAAAAAACAGCTGAACAGCTGTTGTTTTATTAAATGAGTGTCTTGTTAATCATGCCATACCAAAGTTTTCTGAAAGCAGCAGTTGAGAGGGGAAAAATAATGTTTGAGAGGCAGAAGATGAATTTCTGCTCTATATTTAGCTACTTTTCCAAGTTTCAGGGTTCAGATTTTGTTTTCATCTCAGTTCCTCTATAGTAATTGCTCATATAGGTCAATGCTCTTGCTGAAAGAATTGGTTTATTAACATCTCAGAGATCTGTGTGTATGGAAAGGAAGCGGGATATCAAAACAAGAGCCTGTCATTTAGATTTGGAATAGAGAGTAGCAATTGACTCTCTAAAAGTTGGATTTTTCTTGTGGAATAGTTGATGAAATGCTATTGCCATACAGAAAGGAACTAGGGGTCAGGGAGGGACTTCTCACCTGTGCCCCATCATTAGACATCTACAGTTCAAGACCATTTTTATTGTCATTTCTGATTTTACTGCTTTGTCGCTGCTTTATGGGCTTTATAACTGAATGTATGTCCATAGGTTGACAGAAGGGCAGCTGTCTGCACTAAACCAAGATGGTATCTGGGATGGGACGTGTAGCCCTTTTAGCTATTGCCCATGAGCTGTTTCAAAGATGTGAAGGCTTTGACCCATAAAGCTATTAATGGCTCAGCACCAGAGATTTTCAGTGCTCGAAGGAGATTTCTCCTTTTGTATCTAGGAGATGGGACAGCTGCCAGAGAATTCCCTGCACCTCTGAAATTCCCTTCTTCCCACTCTCCGAAATAGCTTTAATTTTCCAGTCCTACTGGACGCATTTGTTTTCACCAGGCCTTTGAGGAATGTGAAGGCAACTGTAAATAAGGCATTTAAGTATTCCAGCTTGATGAAAGAGATGTCCTTTATCTTCATGGCATTTTGCCTTGAAGAGTCAGAGAGTCTGAACAGGGTCAAGTATTTTCCATTCTAGAGCTAAAGATGGGTAATGAGGTATGCAGGTGGTAAACCAACATGTTACTTCGGGTACTTCTTAGTATGCATTGCCACCTCTAAGACATTGTATTTGTTGCCACACTTTGCTTTCCTTTGCCCTTCTTTTGAATACAAGTCAATAGGAGAGGGAAGGGCTAGTCTGTGTTGCTTCATTTTGTCCCTACTAGCTTTAAGCAACTGTGTAGTAGAGGATTTTGCAGAAAATATGCTCTGCAAACTTTCACAAGGGATGGAAAGTTTCCCTCTGCAGAAAACCCAAGGCTTGCAAGAGAAGCCACAACTGTATTATGTTGCAAGATGTGTTGAAGGTGGAGATGGAGGAAGGGTAGCCCGACATTCAAGTCCTTGCTATATATAGGTGTTAGGGAAAATCTAACACCAAATACTCAAGGGTAGGTTACAAGCACCTTTTGGAGGGCCATTCTAAGCATGTATACAGGAGTAAAATTAGTCTAGCACAAAAGTGTACAAGGAGGGCACGCTGTTTACAGAGTAAGAGACCTTCCTGCAGCAAGGTGGTCTTAGTGCACTTTTACTGTGTAACACTCAGAAGAAATGCACAGACAATTCACTTCAGTAGCTTGAAATACTTGGGCATTGGTCAGCTGCTCCAGCACCTTGCGTGCAGGGCAGAAAAGCTCTGAAAGGTGTTGTGCATCTGCTTTGTATGGAAGGGAAGATCTCATGGCAAGGGCTGCATAAGCTAATATAGCTCCCATGATGTCAAATTCATCTTTCTGTGCTACTGCTTTTACTTTCACACATAAATATGAATAAGAAAGTGAAACTGCCTTTTATATGAAACTTTGTAAAGTTATGTGGCTTTTGGTTGTCACCCCAGAAATGCCTGTGGTGCCTTTTGAGAAGGATGGGCAGCAATGCTGTTGTTAGATAAAGATGTTCCAGCAAAGCCACAGTGAAGTGAGGTTTTAGGCCCCGTTTCTCCTTAAGAAACAGACTGACAGTTTTTACTTCTACAAAGATGTAGAAGTAAAAGTAAGAGATTGTTTTCAACCTTTTGTAACTTCTCAGCATGAAAGCTGCATCAACTTTCGTGCAGCACAGTACACTTCTCTCTTGAGTGAAAGTTTGTCAAGCATCTTGCTTGGAAAGCAAGAGTACTTGAAGCACAAAAAAAAAGTTTCTTGTGATCATTTTTATGCCTTGCAATCCCTTTTTTCGGATAAATGGCACTTGTATTTCTTTTTGTCTTAGGGGCTGCCTCAGGTTGCTTTTGGAAGCCAAAAGACACTATTGCAGTCATAAATTCCTTCCTCTGAAGAAAATATTATTTTAATGGGTGCAAGTTTCTTGATACCACTATAGCAAGCAACAAGGAAAGGTCTATCACTTGAAATAAATAGGAGAGTTGACTGCCAGGATGCAACTCCCCGCTTAATTTCATCTAAAAGTTAGCTTCCTAGACAAAGTTAATCATGAGGCTCTGCTGCCAGTAGAGAAATGAATTGCCCTTGGGAATACCCATGTTGCTTATGCTATTTCTGAAGATATAACTGAGGCATTTAGTTTTTAGGTAGCTGAAACTGAATGAAATTGAACTTTTTATCTGACCTTGCTTGTGTTCAGATGAAGTTGTTGCATACTTGGAGAAGGTCCACAAGGAAAACAAGTCAAAGGAACAGCGCTGTCTGAATTCTTTCTTGGGGATGGTGCTTAATATAGATTCATCATCCACATCATCTGATCGTGCAGATGTCCACAAGCTTGGCTGTAAAGAGTACTAGGAACACCTAGGCTCTACCTGCTGGTGTGCACCTCTGCCACAGTGGGAAGTTCAGTGTGTTTTTTTCTCCAAGAAATAGCATAATAGTTTCTATCCTATTCTGATTTTTGCATTTAATGAAGTGAGAATGCTGTAATCATTTTGAAGACCTTTCTTTGCAGCAGATGTAGACATAGTCACTGACATTAGATTTAAGAGTATTCATTCCTCTCAATTTCTGAAGCTAGTTTGCTGTTCTCTGCAAGATACGGTGAGAGCACTGTCAGTAACTTGTATTAATAGGATCGAGTCAAGCCTCAAAGATCCACACTGTGCTGTCAAAATGGCATCATCTAACAGAGTATAGACTGTAAATTCCTTGGGGTGGGAGCGAGGCTGTGAATAGGTAATAAATAAAAAGTATTAACTCTGAGATGGGATTCAGTTGCCAATGCAGAGGTCTCTAGTTCTGTTTCGTCATCCAACACTTGATGTCCACCTGCAGCTCTGGAAGGGTATGGCTCTTCTTTTGACTCTGTGTCATATCAGCCAGCATGCACGGCCAAGGATTCTGAAATGACATGCACTAGGGTATGTGTTTTCTTTACCTTAACACAAATAATTCGAAACAGAACACCAGTGATATTTGCAGTCTTATAGAAGACTTATAGAAGTCTTAAAATCAAGAGTGGAAGTTTTTGGTGTGTGTGTGGTACAGTGTGAGGGAGATGTGCTCAATGAAGGTGCAGCTGAGAGCCTCTGTACAGCAGTGGGCATTGGGTTGGCCTTTGCAAATGCTCAGGACTTCACCTTAAGGGCTTTCATAGCACTGATTACTCCACTGATGTAATAGTAATAAGCTTTCCTTAGACAGACAAGATTGATCAGTAATGTTTCAGTATTGCAAGAAACATATAGAGAAACTCAAAGGAGAAAAATGAAAATTAAAAAAAAAAAAAACAAACCAAATCCACACACAAGAAAACCCTCTGAAGAGCAGAGGATGATCTTACCAGAAAAATGTTTAATCCCTGCGAGGAAGGTTTTTGGTTTTTCCATTCCAAGTGCTGTGATGTGTCACAGGCCCTCCTGTGCATAAGCACTGTCACAAGACTCAAATCTTTCCCTGTTCTCTTAACAAGCTGTGTGTGAGCTGTGTGGCTGACCTCAGCCTTTCTAGCTCATTAAGAAGTGCCCAAAAACCGCCTAATGAGAACTGAAGCATCAGCAGCTCTGAGAAGTGTGAAACGTTGATGTATGGAAGGATAAGAACCAGTTTCTGCTGGTACAATGTTAAAAAGATACAGTCAATGTTTCCGTAGGGCAGCAGCCACAGTGTATGTGCAGTAGGGCATGAATTCATGGAGCAAGGTGCCCTGTGTTAAATTACCTGTCTACTGATGTAATTAAAACCTTGAGAGGGATAGAGGAATGTGGGCAGTAGAAAAACAAGTGACTGTGTACAGGGGAGCAAGAAATGAAAGAACTTAAAAATTAGAAAATGTGAAAAGGAGATGACTCTCAAAGTAACAAATGCTTTCAGGGGAGAAAATAAGATGCAAGAAATCTTGGGGGAGGTGGAGAGAAGAACATGCAATATCATGACATCCAGTATTCAGGTTAATGGAACTGTGTTCGTATTGTACTGTGTTCATCCCTTTAGATAGAGTGCTCTATCGATAACATGCAACCGTGGCTTGTATTAAAGCACACCTAATCAATACTTGGCTTAACCTTACTAATTGCCATTGTGTTTTGATTCACTGCATTGCAACAGGGAGATTCGGGAGACTTTTTCAGCCTTCCAATAAGTTGTCCACAGATAACTGAGCAGAACGGCCATGTCAAGTTTGTCAAAGGCAAAATGCAAAAGCATTGTTCCTCACCTCTGCACTTCTGATCACCTGCATCTGTGTGTCACCCCGGTGCAATCTGTATTCACTACCAGGATGGGAAAGACAAACATATTCTCCCACCACGTGTTGCAGCAATTAAAGCTGTTTCTTTTCAGGCAACATCAGCAGACAGTTAACGTTCGTAGAAAAGGGTCTTTAATTCAAGTGGGCTTTGCAGAGAAGCATTCTGTGTGTCGGTTTAACCTTCTTCAGGCCGTGGTTAATTAAACCCACTTCCCCTGTAAGTAAGTAGGGAGGTATAGCAGATTTTTAATGCTCTGTGGTTTGCAGAGTTAAGGTGACCCTGGTATAGAAATCCAGCTGACTTAATTGATTTGTCACCACTATTTAAATAACACCCTTCATTGTAATCCTCAGCTGCCAGAGGAAAGCTAAGAGGAGGTGGATAAGAATAAAGGAGTGGAAGGTGAAGTAGTGCAATTCAAGACAACATATTTATTACTGATTTACAAGCAGAAAACTAGAAACAGCGCAATACATAGCTGCCTCAACCCACTCACTGTTGTTTCCTGGAAGCTGGGACCTGTAGGTTTCCAACAGATGCGTGTAGCAGCCTCTCCACCTTGGTGCCAAGCAGGAATTATGGTGTATTAGGGACAGTCCAGGTGCTGGAGAGCCATGCTGATTACATGGAGACCCCACAGGATATGTAGAATGACTCTTTGTTCCAGATCAGAAAAGTTGGGTAAATATCAGTGCTTCAGTGGTTAGAATGTATTCTCATACTCTTCAGCACTAAACATTTGATTTGCCTTAAAAGTAGTCCGTGGGCTCATGAAGCCCAGTCCTTTCTGTCAGTGCTTTTGGCAGTGCTTATGCATGGATATTGCACAACTTTAAAATGTAGCTCATCTTGTGTTTTACAATGTTCCTTTTATTTTCACACTATTTCCAGATTAAATAAATTAGGTTTTACTGCTGGCCCCAAGCTAGATTAGCCCAGGGAGCTTCTGCATAGTTTGTTTTAAATAATTTAATGCGATGTGTTTTCAAGCTCCTTGTTCTTTCTCACATTTCTCTCAGCAGGATGGCTGCACACAATTACCTGAGGGCAATTTGAAAGCGAGTTCATGTAGTGGTGCAGCAGGGCTCACCCTTTGCCAGGTGTTTCCTCCCAAGTGAAGCTGCAGAAGCTGTGTTGTGACCACTGTTTCCCCTACTCTGAACAGCTCTCTCCTTCAAAATAAGCAGCAGGAACACCCAGGTGCTCATTCTGTTTAACCACGTGGGACTGTTCCAGGAGCTGAAACCTCCACACAGACTCTTTACTGCTGATTTTCATCATTCGCATCCTCTAAAAGCCAATTTAAAGATGGTTAAACAGCAGCACCAGGGCAGCAGGACTGCAGAGCATCTCCCTGTAGGGTGTTCTTCCCTGGCTATAGAGAGAGCCAAGCTAGGTCACTCTGCATGCCTGTCCCTGGGCAGCCACCCTGTGCCCATGCATTACTGCTTGGTAGCCACAGCAGAGCAGCAGCAAAGCAAGACAGTCTGCTTCTAAGATACCAGAATAAATAATAATTAATAGTGAGATAAAATCAAGGTGGGGAGGAACGTCTGTGTTTGTTTGCCTGAAGTATTGAGAGACTTCTGAACAGAAATCTGAACTTTTCCCCTTTGTGGATTATTAGTACATAGTTTGGAGAGAGCATCTCCAGGGGCCTCTCACAAATTTAATTGGAGCTTCCCGAGGTTCAGGTGGGGGTGTGCATGCAGATGTGCACACAGCTGGGTGCATGCACAGATATCTGCTCCAGCAATCCTGAGCTATGAGATGTTTGCTGTGTGCTGGCATTCAGGTCTCCTGCTTTGTGGTACACTGGCTTATTTGTAGCCAGCCATCCTGCCAGCTTCTTAAGTTCTTTTTAATGGTTCCTCTTTTATCTCCACCTTTCTGTTCAGAAGCACTCATGAGGCTTTGTTAGGCCTTTTTAAAAAATGAAATGATTTGTGGGGTTTTTAGATGGAGGTACTCAAAATTTGCAAAAACACAGACAGATTCAAATGATAATAGTCTTGGACACTTCGCATCTCTAACCCCTGTTTCTGTGTTGCTCTTCTTCTTTCCGTTTCCCCAGGAATTCATTTTATCAGAAGATTACAACAAGATGACACTAGTGAAGAGTTACCAGGGTAAGAACCATGATCTGTGCTAATTAGTCTGTATTGTCATTAATTTTTATTAATGTGCTCTTCAGGAGCGAGAATCGAAATATTCTCCTTTACTGTAATTTTTCAGGCTAATATAAATGCTGTTTTTATCAATAGATCAATACTGTGCTTTGAGATTGCAAGACTTACTGAGCTATTTCATGCTCTATTTTTCATTTGAAGTCTACTTTAGGAATGTCATCGTAGACAGCAAGCCGTCAAAAATCCAAATGTGTGGAGGGAAGAGGAACATTAGTTTTTAATATTTAATAGTGTGCATTTAATGAATCTATTTAGAAAGCTGACTGTCTTTTAGGGTTGTAGCTTTTGGGACGAGTACAGTTGTATTTCAGTAAATGCTTGTTTTAGTAATCTCAATATTATCAGTGGATACCTGCCATACTAAAAGGTCCATATCTTTTCTAATTCCACTTGGCCATTTGTTAGTGGGATGTTGTAAGAAACATAGCTATTTATCCTTACTAAACTTCTAGAGGACACCACACTTAGGTCAGGTATCCCTATAAAAGTAACATAATAGCTACCACTTATTTCTACACCTCTTTTGCTGTTTGACTGAGGAGTGATGTATTATATGCTAAGAATCGCGTTTCTGAAGAAGTCTCTGACCTGTTGGCTTGAGATCTCTCTCGTACCTTTCACATATATATTTACTCATGTATTTGAGTTTCTGTATCTTGAAAAATTAGAGAATAATTTAAATCTCTAAATGGAGGCTCTGGGGATCACTTTGTAACCTTTAGATTTAAAGGTATGAAGAGAATCACAGAATCTTAGAATGGCTTGGGTTAAAAGGGACCTCAAGGATCATCGAGCCCCAACCCCCTGTCACACGCAGGGCTGCCAGCCACTAGATAAGAACTAGATCACATTGCCCAGGGCCCCATCCAACCTGGTGTTAAACACCTCCAGGGACAGGGCATGCACACATGGGCATTCTCCTGGTGAGACCAACGTGGAGGCAGAGGTTGCCACTGTGGAGGACTGTCGTGCCAGGTGCTGGACTCTCAGACAACATGTTAGAAGATTTTATTTGAAAGCTGTGTACTTATTTTAGGGCAAGATAAGTGACACCTTTGCCCAGAATAGGTATCATTTCAGGTCTAGGGCAAACCATAACCTGCAGAAGCCATTTTTCTTATGGCAGTCAGAGACCACAGACAGTGCCTGCTTTCTTCATAGGAGAGATGCTCCAGTCAGTCCTCTGATCATCTTAGTGACCTTCCTCTGGACCTGCTCCACATCCTTCTTGTGCTCTTTTTGGGTGGGGAGAACAGAGTGTGGTGAGCCAGGCTGCTGGCATCTCCTAAATTTGAATGTGGGAGGGGTATCTGGATAGTAATCCCTGCTATACAGGGGTTAAAGAAGCAGTAGGTCTAATGTTCTGCGTTCTGTGCATCGCCAACCCTATCAGCAAATGGTTGTTTTGGAAAAAAAGTGCCCCCAGGTGCTGTTGGAGATGCATTTTTCTTCTCTCATATCTCATCCCCATTTAAGAAAGGCAGACTGTTGCCAGTGCTGCAGATGGGAATGGTGGCCAGAAGGGGGGAGGCAGATCTTAGTTCTTTGCTACAGGAAAGGTGTTTGGAATAAAAGACTCAGTGAAGGGCTGTTCACAGCCTGCTACAGTTTTATCATACCATGAACCAGGAGACACTTTGGTAGGCACAGCTGCCTCCATCCTGACACTGCATCTTTGCTTATGGGACATATCACTGGGGATGGAGTGCAGCAGTGCTGCTGAGACACTGCTGCAAAGAGAGGGTGCCTGCTTGCACCACACTGTCTGGGAGAGTGTTCAGGGAAGGGATATGTAGTTTTTCTGTAGGCATGCCATGATCCAGCAGAGATGAGCCTTCCTCACCTGTGTGTGGTGACTCCCCTCCACAAAAAACTCTCCATGAAGTACACCTTCCTAATACGGCCATATAAAAGTATAGAGGATGGGATGGGTAGGAAACAATGAGGCACTGTTCTAAATAGCTGAAGCTGCTCTAGTGGCTAAAGCACTAATTGTGTCTTAAAAAGCCAGTTGTATGTCTGCCAAATAGTCTGCTGGTGCATGTGCATAGGCTGTGCTTTACTCTTGGCAGGAGTCTGTGGCCAGATCTGGTGTCACGCAGCCAGGACATGGCTGGCATGGCGCCTTGAAAGTTGTGTTGCAAGGCTGTGCCTGGAGTTGCGAAACCTCTTTCTTGAAAGGGATCAAAACAAAGAGGTTAAGTTTGTGGCACTGTAATTCAGTACTTCATGGCAAGTTATGGGACATTGACCTCTCACAGGAAATGAAAAAGAATGGCTTCTGCTTTACCTCCTACTCATTTTTGTTAATTATTTGCATGATTATTCCACTCAGTAGGATTTCTGGATCTATTTCTGCCCCATGCCATTTGCAGCCTCCCATTTCAGGAGTGTCCCGTCTCCTTTCAGGCCAGCTCATGCCACCTCCTTATTACTGCTCTCCCTGTGTACAACCTCTTCTTTTGGACTTTTCTTGCACATTTTGGACTTCTCTGTGCATCCCCTTTACCTTGAATGCTCACAGTCCATCCCTTTTCTTTGTTACTACTAAGCCTATTTTCTCCAGGCATGGCCCTCCATCTCTCCGGTTTGCTCTTTGCCCAGTGCTTGCTTCTGCCTTCTCTTAGGAATGTAATTGTCCTGCTTGCTCTTACCTTCCCTCTGCAAATGGACCTGCATCTTCCTCCTCTCTGCTGCTTCTCTGTGTTCCCTACCCCATAATCTTCCCCCACATGTGGGTTCCGTTCTCCACTGGCCTGCTGCTTGCTGTGACTTTTCCTGTACCATGGCAACAGCTGCCCTCCATTCCACTTCTCCTTTGTGCTGTTGCTGCATTGAGCAGTACTGGAAGTGTTTTCTCCACCTTTGTCTGCGCACAGTATGCAGCCAAGCCTTCTATGAATGAAGGACCACCATCTTTTTGCTACTTCATGTCTCTGAGTCTATACTAATCCTAGGGCCAAGCATTCTGTCTTGCCCTACTGTCAACTTCTGCAATTTTTCTTTAAGCCTCACGTGGATCACATTCTCTCTAAATGCCAAATGACTTCCTGCCTGCATTTGTCCTTTCTTTCTTCCCCAGCTTAGGTGACCTCTACCAGGCTTTCACTTGGTTCATATATTTCTGACATCAGTGTGTGTGGTGGCACCAGCTAATGTGTGGGCAGCAGTGCTGAATTTGGGAGTTCTTTTTGGGGAAGGAGGATAAGCAAAGTTATCTTGTGTTCCACTTCCACCACAAGATGTGTGCATTTCTTTAACATCTTCTCCTTCAAAAGCAGAGCGAGAACTGCCTCACCATCCACGTGCTGTACTTCTAGCAAAAGGTCCTGCTTTGTAGAAGCATTAGCAGCAGATATCTGAACATGAGTTGCAAGCCAGCCTAGCTGAACATTTACCAACATCAGTGCCGAGTCAGTAATGATGGTAACAGACACTGGATATTTGCAAAGTATTTAGTGTGATGGGTCCCACAAATTTCTTGAACACCTTGTTAAACTTCATGAGGTTTCTGTGTCTAGTTTTGGGCTCCTGGGATGAGGAAGTCCTGGAGCAGAGCCAGTGAGGGACTGCCAAGTTGACAAGGGAGGTGGGACACGTGGTGTGTGAGGAGAGTCCAAAAGGGTTGGTTTTGCTTGGTGTTAAGAGAAGGCTGAGATGAGTCTGACAGTGGTCTACAGCCACACAATGGGAGGGAGGTGAGGCAGTGCCACGTTGCTCTTGGAGGTGTACGGTGAAAGGACAAGAGGCAGCAGGCAGAGATTGCAACACAGAAAAAAAAAAAGTTCTGATTAGATAGCAGGGATTTTTGTTTTTCAAAATGAGGGAGGTCAAACGCTGGAGCAGGTTGTCCAAAGAGCCTGGCACGTCTCCATCGTCAGTAAAGAAAACATCTCTGGGCAGGCCTTGAACAGCCTGATCACAGCGAGCTTTGCAGTCCTGTGGCACTGCCTCGGCCTGTCTGCAGCACTGTTGGGGCACACAAGCCCTCAGGACATGTTTGTGATCCCATTGGGTCCTTGCATCAGCATGGATACCGGCATGGCCCATTCTGCAGTGCCCCACTGCACTGACTGGCTCATGCAGGTGCTTGCAGGAAGACCAACAGATACATGAAGCCCTGCATTAGTGCAATGGGGATCATTGAGTTTCTTACCCAGCGAAAAAATCTGAAGGTAGAGAGATCTGTTCGAAAGCCTTGTATTTTTTTTAACATAACTTGTTCTGCATTGTAGAGTTTGATCACGACTCTCATCTATGCTTTATATTTGTGCAGGGTAGACAGCAATCTTTCCACATTGTTCTTATTGAACTTCTCTGCATTTCAAACAGAGGGTTTGGAGTGGTTGTTATGCTTCCAGAGATATTTAATGTTTCCAGTGTGTCAGCTTCTACACTAAGAAACGCAAGCAGCCCTCTTTGTGCAACACGTGTTGCCGAGTCTCAAAACAGCAATAAAGCAGCAAGCTGTGGATTGAGGAGCACGGCAGGCGCTGTTCACTTACAGCTGGTAATAATTCTGTGTGTCTTTCAAGCCACTTGTTTTAATAAAAAGTCATCTCAGTCAGCACTTCACAACCAGACCCAGTGGTCATTCATACAGAAATCCTTCTATACAAGCCTGGGTTCCATTGGTTTAATGAAAAGCTTTTGATGACTTTGTTTAGGTGGCAGCAGAAATTTATTCGTTCATCTGTTTTATTCATTTTGCCCAGCTGTGATCTTTTCAGTCTTTTTATTATTGTTTTCCATATTCTTTTTTAGCTGGTTCCCATGCAGATCTAAAACTTCCTTTTGGTGTAGGGTTGTGCCTGTGCATTACTCCTCCTTCCACTGAGGTACCACGATCCATGGCCAGATCCACTGGAGCTGGCTGTGTGCTGCTTCATGAGAATCTGCTCCGCTGTCTAAAAACCAGCTCAAAGAAGATTTAAATACAACCTGGAGTGTTTTCCACAATGGCAGCTTTGTGGATTATGGTACAGTGATGAAAAGAAGACTTGTGCTATCTGAGAAGATGGATGGCTCCTGTAGGCATGCAAGGAATGAATTACAAGGGCTACTCCAAAAAGTAACGCCTCCTATTTTATTACATTGGCCCACAGTGTCAAAGATGGATGTTGGCTGGATGGAAGTACAGGTTGAACCTCCCCACCAATATTCCATTCCATGTTGTTGCTGTGTAATAGATGGCAGCTGAGGGGCAGTCTGACAAAATGACATATCAAAAGTGTGTATGAAGCAAAGGTGTGTCACTGAATTCTTCCATGCAGAAAAAATGGCACCCACTGACACTTGATGCTTGCTGAAAGTTTATGGAGACCAAACAGAGAGTGTGAGCACAGTGAGATGGTGAGTGGTGCATTTCAGCAGTGACGACAGCAATGCAAAAGACCAGCAATATTCACAGAATCACAGAATTGTAGGGGTTGGAAGGGACCTCCAGAGATCATTGAGTCCAACCCCCCAAAATTCTGGACAGGCATGCACAGTTGTCATACTGCGTAATGAAGAGGGTCTCAATCAGCTCATCCACACAAATCAGCAAACGGTGGTGACTATGTTGAAAAATAATGTTTTGTAGCTGAGAATTTGGTCTACAAAATAGTGTTATTGTGCTCTTTGTAGTTGTTGTAGTTTCCATGGAAATAAATAGGAGGCGTTACTTTCAGAGTGGCTTACATCAATTTTGATTCTCTTCTTCCTCAAGCCAGTGTTTAAAATTTAGGGGAGGAACCTTATTTACATGGTAGCTCAGGTCAGTAGGATTATTGAACACCATTTTCTTCTGTAGGAAAGAGTGAGCAGACGAAGAAGAAATGGCAGAGCTGGCTGCAAGGGGATGGCATTTCCAATGGTCCACTGCCCGTGTGTTTTTTTGCCGTGTGACTACTTGTCTGTCTGCTTAATTTTCAGCTCATCAAAGCAGGGTCATCATGATTCTGTTTGTCCTGGAGATGGAGTGGGTGCTGAGCACCGGCCAAGACAAGCACTTCACCTGGCACTGTTCAGAGAGCGGCCAGCGGCTGGGAGGCTACCGCACCAGCGCGGGGGCCTGCGGCCTGCAGTATCCTTTGCTGAGCCCTCCGTGTTGGCGCTGCCCTTTGGCCCTTAAACAACTTCTTTGTTTGCTTTTGGTTTGTTTGGTTTTATTTCTAACTGTCTTCCAACATTTGTGCCCTGCGTAGGTTCAGTGTTTTGTGAGAAACTGTTCTCTAAAGCCAATGTAAAAAAAAAAAACCAACAAACAAAAACACACAAAACAACTGTCCGCTCTCCTTGCTTCGCCTCTTTAATGCGGGGTGGCATATTTAGGTCTAAGCGAAACAATGGGCAATCTGCAACCTGTTGTGGTCTGCCATAAATAAGGACAGGGCCTTCGTTTTAAACATGCAGCATGTTCTTTTTTTTCCTGAGAAATGATGGTAACAAAGTGGGTCAGTGATCAGGTCAGTGTGCATTTGTGCACGATGGGAAGAATTAAATGGCTTTAATATCAAATAATCAGCACTCGTCCTTCACTCTGGAGCAGCCCACTGTGCACTGGGAATTTGAGCTAACTAAAGAATAAATGGCTCCAGAAATGGCACTCAAGTGCCTTATTCACCTAGAGCTGCCCCAGCTGCCTAGCAATAAAAGAAATATTAATTCAGCTTTATTGCAAATGAAAAGGGATGTGGAAAAGTATGAGCTCTTAGGCTGGAAGCAGGGGTTAGCGTAAACAGACTTTTTAGTGGCCCGTAGCATATGTGGTGTAGATGATATGTGTTGTGCTACTTTGCAGGAAATGAGACTGCCTCAGAATTAAATAAGTGAAGTATATGGCCTTGCATTGTAATCTCAGGCTGAATGAAGGGCAAACTGATCTAAATGGTCTACAGGGTGAACTCCATTTTTAGTTAATTTTCTGAAGAGCTTAGAAAATGCAATGCAGGAGTTTGTTCTGCCTTTCCTAAAGCTCCCTAGAGAGGCAGACTGCTGCAAGAGGTTCCAAATTATGGAGGACTTTTTAATTTGGGTCATCAGATCCTGCTGGTGGAGGGCAGGGGAAAGGACAACCTTTGACAAATACTGCAGAAAAACTTAGCAGAACCTGGGATGTGGGTTTTTTCCCCAACAGTTCATGTGTGCACTTGATCAGTTGAAGCAACTTTTCCTTAAATAAGCAATAAGTAATCTAAATGTGCAATTAAATCAAATGAAGTCAGAATCTGTTGAGATAGATGGTTCCTGTAGGTGGATGTTACTCCATTTAGAATATGGTGTATGGTACATCTGATGTAGCCAACATTTGCCAAATATGCCATGAAAGGTAGATTAGTTCTTGCATTATGACCAGGTTGCCACCAAATTGGTATTAAAAAAAAATTAAGGAGATACTCATAGAATCATAGAATGGCCTGGATTGCCATAATGATTGTCTAGCTTCAACCCCTCTGCTGTGTGCAGGGTTGCCAACCACTAGACAAAACATATTCTTCTGGAGGACTTCTGTGACATTGGGCAGTGTTCTGAGAAAAGATAGGAGTTTTGTTCGCATACTTAAATATAATGAAGAGGTTGAAAACAGTTGTTTTCAACACAGGGAAAGAGGAAGAATGAACACCGTCCAACTTAAGCTGGAGATACTGGGGAGATGAGACTTCTCATTGATGGCAAAAGGTTTATTGCAAGGTTTTGTAAATTTTTTATTTTTTCTTTGCTGATTGGGTTAACTCGGGGAGACTGCATTATTGATATGAACAACTATGAGTTTAATACCTAAAAATATGCTGTTTATCTCCTTGAGACTAGAGTGCTATTCACAAGGTTGTAGAACGCTCATGTTAAAAGGATTAACAAGCCATTAAGAGTAATGCATAGCTTGTGTAAACAATGTGTGTTCCTCAGCATTTATACGTCAGATTTGATGTGGAAACCCGGCACGTGTTTGTTGGTGATCATTCTGGGCAAGTAACCATACTCAAATTAGAGCAAGAGTCCTGCAGCCTGGTGACGACATTTAAGGGGCACACAGGTAAGGCTTGAGGAGGAGACCCTACTTGGTTCTTCACCTGTGCTCAGCATCAAGGTGAATCCTATAACTATATATCCTATAACTTATATCCTGTGAAACAGGACCGTGAAAGGGAGATTAAACTGTCACTATCAGTCAGGAAAGCTTGTTCTTTATTGAGGAAAACAAGAAAGGGATCAAACTTTTGAAAAGTGTAGTAAATGCCATAGATAGTAAATGCCAATAGATCAGTAGCTCATTAACGCAGAATGAGGATAAAAGTCGCAGTAACTCTGGGGGGAAAGATGCTTCCTAGGGAAAGACCCACATGGGTGGATACTATTGCCCAAGTGGGTTAGGTGTATCTTGGATGTGCTTATTGGGGATGCTGGCTGATTGCTTCACTACTTGGACTTGTGCTTCATCACACTTTAAAAACAGCAGCCCTGGGATGTGAACTTGCCATGTAATGGAAAAAAATTGTGGACATTGCTCAGCATCTTCTCTTTAAATCCCTCCTCTTTGATTGTGTGTTTGTAGTTCAATCACAAGGTAGTTCAATCCATGTGCTAAGGCACTGAAGATGCCCATAATCATAGAATCATAGAATGATTTGGGTTGGAAGGAACCTTTAAGATCGTCTGGTTCCAACTCCCCTGCTATAGGCAGGGACACCTCCCTCTAGATCAGGTTGCTGATAATATTCCCCACTTGCTTCTCTTCTATAATAAAATCTCTCTCCAGGGGATGATGGAGATGAAAAGCTGTGCAATCACACTGTGACCGTCATATGGTGGCTTTCTGCTGCCCATTCTGCCCACACGAGGCTACAGAAGGGCAGGGCATGGCTTCAATAGGATTTCTAGGCTGCTGCTTACCAAATGGCCAGTACAGTGGCTGCACGGCCCTTGCTAGAGAGACCCACATTTTTCATCACTCTTTTTTTTTTTTTTAAATAATGTTTAAGTATGTATCAACATGTTAAGCTACATTCTGTAATTAATTGTTCTATGAATCTCCTATTTCAGGTGGTGTCACTGCTCTCTGTTGGGACCCAATACAGAGAGTTTTGTTCTCAGGCAGTTCTGACCATTCCATTATAATGTGGGATATTGGAGGAAGAAAAGGAACAGCCATCGAGCTGCAAGGACATAAGTACGTTCAAAGCCCTTCCTCCTGTCCCATGTGGAAGCAAAAACAGCCCAGAGGTTACAGTCTTCACATGGCTTTAGCTTATATGTGTGACCCCCCTTGGTCTTTATACAGTGAGAATAAATGGCTTACAGCAAGTTTTTCAGCATCCAGACCACAGGCTGATGTGATAGTCTTCAAAAGGTAGTGAAAGAAAGCACAGTTACCTATGGTCCAGAGTGTGCTATGTGAGAGTGTTATGTGTGTTATGTCTGCACCTCAGTTGGAAAGGAGGGTTCCACAAATGAGAACAGCTGGAGGGAAAATTCCTTCTTTTTTAGGCGTCAGGTTTTTTCTTTCCTTCCTTCCCCTAGAGGGAGCATCAGGCTTGGACAATTAGTCCCGTTTTGCTGCATGTTAACCATGTGTTTTCCATCTCACTTTACCTGCAGCCTGAAATATAAGGAATGTTCTTTACCCATATGTGCCTGCAGCATCTCCTTAATGCAAAGAGGCTTCATCTTTGCACATACAGACCACACATTTGCTTAGTACAATAGATGTATTTGAAGAAGAGTAATCTTCTTCTGGACATTGAGTAAATTAGAGTGTCACTAGCTGTGATGACTCCCAAGCCTTTTAAATACTTACAGCAGGTTTTCAGTGCATTGACAGAGCATATATGAGGGAATAGCATGCCAGGCTCTGATTTGAAGAGGCAAAATCCCATGGCCGTTTTGGTCTGACAGTGTTTACAGCTTCTTGTGTATTCATACATTTCTCTTGAGTGATGCTGCACTCTGCTGGACATTTTTGTTGGGCCACTGGGATTTCAGAGTGCTGCAGAGCTTTTGTGAAATCCCCAGATCATCCTCATACCATAACACTGATGCTAGCTAATGCACCCCTACTACACTTACTGCAATGGAAATTTTTAGATCTTTTAGTACGAAGTTAGCATCTGGATCTTAATCCATAGCATGGCTGTTGGCTGGCTCAGTGTAGCATAGAGGCCTGATGGCAGTGGGGACCAAGAAATGTTCCAATTATTGGTGACATTAGAGTCAGCAGGTTGGGTTTAAGCTGTATTGTTTTTCCCTTGCAGCTTTTTGTTTAAAAGAGGGAAAATAAACTAAATCATCTACCTTACCTTGGGAAGGCTTAGAAACAATTTACCAATTCCTGTATTATTTTTATAATGCTTATTAGTGCTAAAAGAAAAGATTCAGTGGTTCTTTAGCGCTTCATGTCTAGATGTTGCAGAGATTTACCAAAATCAAGTGTTGTTACTAACATACTGAAGAGAATGTACCTTACTAAGGCTACATTTATGCACTCAGATGTGCTTTGGGAAAGGCCCTGAAGCTTCAGGTCTGTTTTGCCTTCCCAGCTCAACTTGCAGTTTCAGGAGCAGCGCAACCAGTTATCAGAACAGGTCCTTGATTTTGTGGATGTTGCCCAAGTGAGCAGCACTCTGATTTTGGTTCCAACTGGACAGCAAAGACTCCAATTTGCTTCTGATAAATACTGAAAGTGCATTGAGAATGGGGGGGAAAAACATGCAGGCAACTGAATGATTTACACTGCCCAGAGAAGCTGTGGGTACCCCATCTCTGGAGGCACTCAAGGCCAGTTTGGATGGGGCCCTGGGCAGCCTAAGCTACTGGCTAGCACTGCCCATGGCAGGGGGTTGGGACTGGATGGGCTTTAAGGTCCCTTCCAAGCCAAGCCATTCCACGATTCCATGGTTCTTGATTCTTTATTGTATGTTTTGTCCTTACTTTTGTGCTGGCTTTAAATGGTTGATTAGTAACTGCGTTGTTTCTTTTCCAGCGATAAAGTTCAGTCTCTCTCCTATGCTCACCACACTCGGCAGCTCATCTCTTGTGGTGCCGACGGGGGAATAGTGGTCTGGAACATGGATGTTGAAAGACAGGAGGTAGGGGCACGATTCTTGCTGATTCTGTCTGAAGCAGTCTTGGGAAGTGAGTGGCCTTTCTAACGTGTGCAACTTTCAGTTAGAACAAGAACTTTTCAGCCATTAAAAATGTTGTTGGATATGCTCCAGTTCTTACACAGCAATTATGCCATGCCTTTGATAATGTGGTACAGGGGAAATTATCTGGCAGAAAATGTGTATTAAGTAGGCTGTAAAATGGTTTCTATCCTTTACATTACTGCTCTGAAGGTGTCCTCTAAGGATGTGAGATGTTCTGCTTTATTTTTAAGGACAATGAGAAATGCTGTCATTTCAGAGGTAAATGGATGGTTTGATAATTATTGGGATTTTTGTTAAGAAAACGAAACTAGGAAGTTCTTTGTTATCTCTGGAAATGTGCAACCCAGTGTTGGTTTCTCCTTTATTCTTGCTGAAAAGACATTTATTTGTGGCTTCACTCTCACCTGCTACTACTGGGCCGTGCTACCCTTTGGTATAGCCATATGGAAGGGGGTAGATGACAGCGTTGCTGATACAGACAGCAAGATTTCACTTACACATTCCCAACCACCTTGGTGCTGTGTGGCCAATGGATGCAAGCAAGTGCAAAATGTACCCCAAGTCTTTGTGCTGTGGGAAGAGCCTCCTCTCAGCAATTTTGAAGACCTGACTCAGCAGGACGAGCGAGAGAGTCAGGCTCCAGCCCTAGCCCTGAACATGGCAAATCCTGGTAAAATCTCTGCATGGGGTAACAGCTTTTCCTAATGCTCTGCCCTATTTCTGTGGGTGGGCGCTGAGGCCCTGAATACCCCTGGTGGGTCACTTGGGGCAAGGTTACTGCCAGCCAAGTGTGGGGCTGTGGCTGGGAGAGATGCATTGGAAACACACGTCTGGGTACATCCCTTTACCTGCTCCTTCTAGTGCGTAGTGGGGAAGACCACTGTAATTAAGATTAGAGAAAAGTAAGGAAGGATAAGGGCAGCAAGTTTTTCCCAGCTGCTTTTGGCAACACAATCTGTAATCAGCTTTGCTGCTTCTCCATGAAGGTTTTGGTCTCCCTGGGTTGTGCACGTCTCCCTTGAGCAAGGAAAAAAGATAAGTGGAAAATTGGATTTAAAAACCTACTCAAACAGACCTAAGCAGGAACTGAGCTACTATTGCTCCCTTTTTTTTCCTGTGAATTAGCATTCCATTTGGCTCTCTTTAATTGCTAATCTAATGGCCGATTATATCATCAGCTCCAAAAGTGAAACAAAAGCAGAGTGGGTTTCTCCCTCCCAACAGATGTTTCCTTTTTGCTGCAGCCTGAACATCCAGAAATGGAAAACTTACTTATTGGCAGCCTTCAAAAGACTGCACTAAGGGTTAAGACTGGTTGCAAAACAGACAGCAATAATGTGAGAAGGCTGGTTAAAAAGTGGAGGGGAAGTATAATGAGCTACAGGAGGGCTTAGCAGCAGGTGCTGATGTGTGTGGTGCTCTCTGACTATGGCAATGTGGGCTCATTCTTGTTATCCATAGCACAGCAGGGCAACCACTGTGTTAAACCACCTCCAAAACATGAACCCTTGAGATGTGATTATCAGATACTTGGATGTTGGCTTTGCTATTTTTCCCCTTATATAAGTGTTTTTTCCCCCCCCCCACTGGATGTGTGCTGTCTTCAGTTTGATATGAGATTTTCCCATGTCTCTGCGATTGCACTGGAGTGAATTATGCCATTTTGTTGCTTGATTCCTTATTTTTATCTATTTTTAAAAAGCTGTGAGAAGAAAACATCTGAAAAATGCTGGAAGCTGTGTTTCTATTTGACTACAAAGCAGTTCCTTGTCACAAGCAAAACATCTTCATGAGTACTGTTCAGATGCAGATCTGTAGACATTAATCTAAAAGACTGTTGTGGATACAAAAGACAGGGATTTGCCCCTACAGTATGAACAGCATTCAAAGTAACTGACACAACAAGCTGAAGCTCAGAGTTGACTGAGTTTAGTGCTGGGGGTCAAAACTGCCATGGGATCTGAGGGTCTCCATCCACCTTCCCTTATCTTTGTCTGGCTTTCATAGTATTTTTAATTCTCAATCTCAGCTGCATTTCTTGCCTTTTTAAATGACAGTATGGAAGAAGCCAAATGCAGTTTATTAATGGGGCTTCCTCACTTTGAACTTGACTTGGTATTTGTTTAATTTTGCTCAGTTGGGGCTGGGTAGGAGCATGCTGAGGCAGCGTTGGGAGGGTTGTCCCTCCCTGCGGATGGGACAGACCTGCTCACCAACACCACTTTGGGCTGAACCCTTGTCCTTGGGATCTAGTACTGCTGGTGAGGTGAGAAGAAGTCATCCCCTGTCCAAGAACTCCTGCTAAGCCCAAATAGGACAGATGGATGGACAGACAGATAGAGAAGGTTCAAATCATAGAATCATAGAATTTTTGAGTTGGAACGGACCCTTAAAGGCCATCTGGTCCAACTCCCCACTGCGCTGAACAGGGGCACCTACAGCTCCATCAGGTGCTCAGAGCCTCTCCAGCCTGACCTTGGGTGCCTCCAGGGACGGGGCATCCACCACCTTTCTGGGCAACCTGTGCCACTGCCTCACCACCCTTACTGTAAAAAACTTCTTTCTTATATACAGTGTGAATTTCCCCATTTTCCCTTGTTGTATCACAAGAGACCCTTTTAAAGAATCTGTCCCCTTCCTTCTTACAGTCCCCCTTTAACACCAAAAGGTCGTTCTCAGCTCTCCCTGGAGCCTTCTCTTCTCCATGCTGAACAGCCCCAGCTCTCTCAGCCTCTCCTTGTAGGGGAGATGTTCCATCCTTTGGATCATTTTGGTGGCTGTCTGGAAATGCAGGAACCATGACTCTTGGAGTCTCGCGTCCAAAGCTGTGTTTCCTGAACTCTGTGGGGAGAAGCACTGAATGTCCACCAGCAGGCACGTGTCAGGGGGCCCAACTGTAGGGGAGGAGGTCATTCTCTTCCTCCACAAGCCCTCCTGCCATTTCAGGCATTTCCTGAGCTCCTTCAGTGTCTGGTGAGAGTGCTTCCCTGCAGGGAATCCATCCTTGCTACTCTTCACAGCAAAACGTGGCTGCAGGAGGGAGAAAGGCCTTTAATATTTTCTTTATATTCTTTAAATCTTTTTACCCACTTCATCCACAGCATGAGTGCAAATCTACACGTGGAATTAGGAAACAGAAAGCTTTCCTTTCATCGTCTGTATGTGAAAGCAGGGAAAAAAGGTGTTTTGGGTTTCAAGCTTCTTCAGAACCTCATCTTGCCTGCCTTGTCAGATTTGCAGCACAGATACCTCAACAGCAGGAGTGCCTCTTGGAGTAGCTTGGATACTGGAAGTACTAATTGCCTCCAGTGCAGATGGTTAATGCTGTCCAGACAAGATATGCATTTGTAGATACTAAGTTCCAAACTTGAAGAGGCTGGAGAGGCTTATTTGTTCTTGGGTTATTTTTATGGACTTACAATCAGACTCTGCTTCATGTGGTGGATGAGAAGTGTTCCTCCTGCATGCCCTTACCTTGATCGGGTAAAATGATCAGTGGGCAGTTGTAATCAAGTTGAGCTGACCACATTACTGCACTCCATCACATCTTCCTTATCCTGTCCCTGGGTTCCGGTGGAAGTTGTTTCTCATCTCCCCCACCTATGTGTGTTGCAGACCCCTGAGTGGCTGGACAGCGACTCCTGTCAAAAATGTGACCAGCCTTTCTTCTGGAACTTCAAGCAAATGTGGGACAGTAAGAAAATAGGCCTCAGGCAGGTTTGTATGGACCCTTTGCTGTGTTAATATGATACAGTTAGGCTCCTTCTCTCTCATAGTATGTTATGGTAGTCTTTTTTTCCTATAAAGGCTTGAGAACTTTCTCTTTGTTCTAGCAATAACAGGACAGTGAGCTCCCCTTAATGATTCATGCTCATCGGAAGCAGAAAGTTTTTGTCTTTTTTTTCTTTTTAATTTTGACAGCCTGTCCCAATAGCAAATGTAAAAAAAGTGTATGAGTCTGAGCTGAATAAATTGTTTTGGGGCTGTCTGTAGCTTTTGCCATGTGGGATTTTGCTTATTGTCATCTGAATCTGTTGTAGAAAAAAATTTGCAGCTAATTCTTGGAGATCGTGCTGGAACTAAAGCTGTTTTTAATGGGCTTGGGTAAACATCTGTAACTGTTTAAGCTGTGTTGGAAAAGGCTTACTGTTCTGCTTGGAATACTGCTGCGCATCCCTGCCCAACAGGAGGGGGCTGTGGATTATGGTCTGGGAGAGGGGCATGAAAAGGCAGGAAAAGGTGACCTCTTGGGCCCTGAAACAGGTGGCTGGGTCACAGTTAAGCTGCCCTTTCCCCTTTATTTAATGGTTGCTTGTCACCACAGGGCCTGTCTCTCCTATGACAGGCATGGCAGCCCTTTGGTCCTATGCAGTCAGCGTGTGAGAAAACAGAATACAGGTAGTATCAGAATGCAGGAACGATGGTGCTGAACAGTGGCTGAAAATGGCCAGCAGGGTTGACTGAGATGATCAGGCGATGTGTATTTGTACTTTGACAAATGTATTTGTACTTTGAGGCTGAGGTGAGGCTCTGGAGTTATACCAGTGTACCCTGTCCTACTTTGAGCTGACGTATTTTAATACGATACCTATTGCTCACTGGGGGTGTAGTCCCTACTTCCCCAAAGAGAGACTCAAAAGATGGACATGGCTAGGAGGAAGTGGGTGTACATGAAGATGACCATTTTCCTTCATCTCCCATTGGAAGAATAGCTTTCCTTTTTGCTGCAGCCTCAGCCGAGCCCTGCGAAAGTGAGATGGGAGAGCTGGGAGCAGAGCAGCGACCCGTCCCCAGGCTCATGGCTGAAGATGTCCTTTCATGTGTTGTCTCCCACAGCACCACTGCCGCAAATGCGGGAAGGCCGTCTGCGGCAAGTGCAGCTCCAAGCGCTCCTCCATCCCGCTGATGGGGTTTGAGTTTGAAGTGAGGGTCTGCGATAGCTGCCACGAGTCCATAACGGATGAGGAGTAAGTGTGGGCACCGAGCAGCCCAGAGCTGCAGTGGGACAAAATGCCTGTAACTGGGAGGGCCTGAGTGGCCCGAGTGGCTGCAGGGTTGGGGAACGAGCAGCCATTGGGTGGTCCTGGGTCCCATTAGCAGAAGTCCCATCAGTGCATAATAGGTCAGCGCTTGCTTCAAATGCTTGTTTCCTTGATACCTGGCAGCTGTGGTTTTTTTCTGATTTGGGATTTCTTTCTTCAAGGCGGGCGCCCACAGCTACTTTCCACGACAGTAAGCACAACATAGTTCATGTACACTTTGATGCCACTAGAGGATGGCTGCTGACCTCGGGGACAGACAAGATTATTAAGGTAGGAGGGAGGAGATTGCTCTAGCTTTTGTACTTCATTCCTTCTTCTTCTTCTCCCATGGGAATCCATGTATGTCCTAGCTACCATTTTCCACACTGATCTCTCTAACACCAGCTGATACGCTTCTGCCCAAAAAAGACCACAGGGATCTTGGTCTGTAAACCCAAAGGGATGGGGACAAGACTAGCCAAGTCAGTGCTAACAGTGCCCTTCCCATAAAGAGCATAAAACAGCTTTTTGAAGTGGCTGATGTAGTTTGTGAGGCCAGGTTAACAAAGAGCCCACAGATGTCAAAACTCCATGCAGAGAAGTAGCTAAAATAATGAATAAGTGTATAACAAGACTTTAGCAATTACAAACAACAACAGTAGAATCATAGAATCATAGAATGGCCTGGGTTGAAAAGGACCACAATGCTCACCCAGTTTCAACGGCCCTTCCATGTGCAGGGTCACCAACCACCAGACCAGGCTGCCCAGAGCCACATCCAGCCTGGCCTTGAATGCCTTCAGGGATGGGGCATCCACAACCTCCTTGGGCAACCTGTTCCAGTGCATCACCACCCTCTGTGTGAAAAACTTCCTCCTAATATCTAACCTAAACCTCCCCTGTCCCAGTTTAAAACCATTCCCCCTTTTGCTACCCCTATCCACCCTCGTAAACAGTCATACCCCCTCCTGTTTATATGCTCCCATCAAATATGGGTAGGCACCAATGAGGTCTCCCTGGAGCCTTCTCTTCTCCAAGCTGAACAAGCCCAGTTTCCTCAACTTTACTTCATAGGAGAGGTGCTCCTCATCTTAGTGACCCTCCTCTGGACCCCCTCCAAGAGTTCCACGTCTTACTTGTGCTGGGGGCCCCAGGCTTGGATGCAAGAAAAGATCTACCTTGTAATTGTGTTACAACTGCTAATCACACAAGTTAGCAATATGCTATGGGTTTTTGTAGCTTAAAACCGGATATTAACCTGGCTTATAAGGAATAAATGTCAAGTGATATGAGTATTGGAAAATGAAATTAAATTTTGGACCTGGTGCATCCCCCTCTGGGCACGTAGCTTGCCTTAAGCAGAAATTAAAAAGTGCAAATTAGTTTTATATATTACGTTGTTCTATTTCACCACTACTCACCATGTTATGATATGTTGTTGTATTAACAGCTGTGGGATATGACGCCAGTAGTGTCTTGATACATCAGTGGAACTTGAAGGGTGACATTTACAGAAGAAGCAGATTTCTTAACCCTAATCATTCTGCAGAAGATAGGTAATGCCGGGCGCATATTGCGGATGAGAAAGGAACTCATGTGTTTACAACAATTTATGTCCTCTGCTTGATCAAGGTTGAACATTTGCACGAAGACTCTTTCCATTTATTCTCAAAATACACAAGAAGGTATTTTTTTAACTAACGGTTTGTACGATCTGACTTCAGTTGTCTTGAGTTTGTTTGGAGAATCCGTGTGCAGTGCAGTTTTTAGTTTTTATACATCATGATGTCAGGATACTTGCTGCCTTGTACCGAGGGTTCTCGGTTTGTGTCTTACCGTGTCAGTTTCCAGTGTAAGGCAGTCGGCTCTCCCCACCTGTGTGTTTGGGATGTTCCTGCTGACAATGCTCACTTCAGCAGAAGAGCTCCAGGCACGACACTGTGCCTTCTGTGGTCACATCGCCAAGCATCAGATGGACTTGCAGTTTCTACCAAGGGCTCTACCACCCTCTTATCCTAGCAGACATCATCTGGAGAGTGTTCTGTTGTTTTGTTGTAGCTAAAGCATGGCTTCCTGCCACTTTCCTTGCTGCACCAGTTGCAAAACCCGGGGGCCAGGTTGCTTAGCAACTTATTTCTACAAAAGCTGAAATAGTTTTCCAGCTCGGAGCATCAGAAAGAGCACACGGACCTGCTTGCAGTCTGATGAGGCTGAGGAGGATTCAAATGAAATTACTGGCAACAACTTTCAGGAGTGTGTGCAGGGGAGTGGGGGAGCAGATCTAAAACTGGTCTGGGGTTGAGAAGTCTGTTTTACCTCTACCTCTACCTTGTGCAGCAGCATTTCAGCATTTGTACCTGTCTGTGTTGTTGAACATGAATTTGATTTTCCTGTTTTCCATACGTTTATTCATATTTATTTTTTAAGATGCCGATGATGTTTTTATTAATTTCCTCTCTAGATCAGAAACTGATATTGCTGAACAACACTTATTGTCCTGTTGTCATATTTGGCAGTTTCTTTTAAGAATAAAGAAGTATTTAAAAAACCTGGATTGACCAAACGTATCCTTTTAAAAGGAAAGTGTAAGGATGGAAAAAGAAAAGCAAAACTTTTTTTGCTAGATCTGTCTTAAATGAAGAGTCATCTCTGGGTTCCTCTAAATCCATTTTGCTTTTTAACACTCTATTGGCAATACTCTTGCTCTGCAGGCTGAGTATTCCTGTATCTCCTATTGATGCAGGGCTGCTGTTGGTCTTTATGATGAAATACAGCAGTCAGCAGCGCTCAGCCTTGCCCCCATTTTGCCCTTTGCTTCTCCCCTCTCGGTGGGAGGTTGTGGTGTTTACCACTATAAAGCACACTGCTACACAGAGAAGAGCTGTACGCCTTCATTGGGAGAGAATGCAAAAAAAAGAAAACAGAACAAAAAAGGTAAGTGCCATTCATAACATTAATCTGAGTCTGAGGAGCTGCCTCCATGAAGGCAAATTCTTCAGGGAAAATTCTTTTTTTTTATACATCCTGTAAATGGTGTTCAAGCATTCTGCAGCTGTGTTGTCTGAAATGATGCCACTCCGGCTTTCCTGGCTGTACAGCCTGTTGTTGGTTCCCCTCTATGCAGCAATTTGTTTAAAGCACGTTTTCAAACATATTTCACATCTCACTAAAAAGACTCACTTTACTGCTGAAACGTTACTAATCTTTAAGCCCTCCTACTTTCTTTCCTGGAAATTAGATGCTTGTTTCCTCTTGGAAGGCATGCAAGATGAGTGAGTCTACTGCCAGGATTTCATTCCAGCTGGAGAAGGTGTGTGAAACTTTGCTGGCCTATGCTGTTCCACATTACCCTGGGCTCTAGGCTTTTTGGCCAGAACTTGCTCTGCTGCCACAGAGAGTAATTCACATGGTGGCAGAAACTTGAGAGCGCTCGAGTAATCAAGTAATCAGCGTTCAGCTCTGTTCCTGATGAGCCATAATGGCTACAACAGGGCCTGGGCCCACAGCACGAATTGTGCTTAACATCAGTGGAGCTCAGAAGTCTGCAAGCTGAGGATCTGCTCGGTGAATGCCCAGCCCTTCAGGACACATCTTATTCAAACAAAAGTGAGGAACTCCAAAGATGACCAAATTTTGGAGCAAGGTATGTTTTAACTCCTGTGGTAAATTCTTGTCCCCATCTTCTCTTCCCGAGGAGCTGTGGTTTCAGTGTTGCTTATGGGTAGATATTGGGTATATAAACCCATTTTGCAAACTTTCCCTTGCTGTTTTTTCTAAATAAACTACCTGGAGGGTTATTTGGGTTTAACTTGATGCCCTGTTACCTTGCTGCCTCAGCTCAGACTGGTCGTGACTTAGAAAATGATACAAGCTGAAGAGAAAGCTGGGGAAGAAAGAGAAGCATCTCTTTTACCTTCCTGTCTTGCATGGCTGGTGTAACCATATCTATTTATTTTGTCTTCTAGATCAGAAAAAAAAAGGATCCCTATTGCCTGGTCCTTTTCTTTCAATTATAACTGTCAAATAACAAACGTAAGCTGTTTTTATTTATTGTATTACTGGGGGAGGGCACAGTGCTGTGTCTTTTGGTACAGATGTAAGCCACACACTTCACCCACATGGACTCAAACAAAAAGCTTCTCTTCCCCAGGGCTGCTGAACTTCAGCAGCAAGCTTTTAGTGCTACATCCTGCTGTGCCAGAGGGCATACAGACAATGCTGGCCTTCCCCTGCTCTTGATTTTAGAAAACTTGGTTTTCATTTCTCTCTTAGCTGGTGTCTCTGCAGGGGAAAAAGCTGTGCCCTTCAGAGAACCTACCCACCTGGCTTTCAATGGAGTGGAAACTATAGTGTTCATGCAGGTGGTGAGGAAGGCGTAGGTCACACAAACAGCCACACAGGCTTCAGAAGGAAGGTAAACATGAACATTTATCTGGTGGGTGGCAGCCCTGCCCAGGGCAGCAGGGTTGGAACTGGATGATCTCTGAAAGTCCCTTCCAACCCAAACCATTCTGTGGTTCTATGATTCTATGAAAAGAACGTGGGCACTGCAAGGATAGTACTGATGGTCCTTCTGGAGCAGGAGACGTAACACCAGGGTTAGAGATTTCGAAACAGGAGAGGGCATAATAGGAGTCAAAGTCTGTCAGTCAGAATAGCCCCAGATGGTGGCATTGCTGTCCTCATCTGCTCTCATTCCTGTCTGTTGCTACTGCAGTGAAGCCCAGTTGACTTTCTGCCTTGCGGACATCAGCACATTGACTCCTGGCACATTGAAAGTGATAGCAGCTCTTCACCTGAGAGTGTGGCATGAATATGCCTTGTACTGTGAGAAGGAGAGATGCATTCCCTTTGCATGGCTTGGCTGCTGATAAGAAGATGGATGGCCAGACACACAAAAAGGATTGTACATGATCCAAAAAAATGCTGTAGGAAAAAGAAAAGTTAACTTCATGCCTGCTGAGGGTATCACAGTTGGAGAGGAATAAGCAACTTTTCCCCCAGCTGTATCTAGAGCTCGGCCAGTACAAGAGAGATGTGGATGTACTGGAGAGAGTTCAGCAAAGGGCCATAAGGATCGTGAAGGGCCTGGAGAACCTCTCCTGTGAGGAGAGGCTGAGAGAGCTGGGGCTGCACAGCTGGAGAAGAGGAGGAGACTCAGGGGGATCTCATCAATGTCCTTAAATCTCTGAAGGGAGGGTGCCAGAAGCCAGAGCCAGGCTCTGTCAGTGGTGCCCCAGTGCCAGGACCAGCAGCCATGGGCACAAACTGGAGCACAGGAGGTTCCCTCTGAACACCAGGAGCCCTTCTGTGCTGTGCAGTGATGGAGCACTGGCACAGGCCCACAGAGGCTGTGGGTCTCCTCCTTGGGGATCTCCCAGAGCTGCCTGCACGTGGCCCTGGGCACCCTGCTCTGGGTGTCCCTGCTGGGGCAGGGGATGGAGTGGAGGCACCCAGAGGGCCCTGCCAGCTTCAGCTGTGCTGTGCTTCTGTAATTAAAAGTCCACTTAACATCTTCACTTACTACATGGCTTAGAAAAATTCTGGCGCTACTAAGTAGTTAAAAAATGTAGTATGTGTCTGTTTTTGCTATTGACAAAAGAATTTGTGTCAAAACAACCAAAATTCTGTTGTGTAGTCCATAGGAGGTAGTTGTGCAGCAAGTGGCTTTGCAGGTGCCTGTCCTTTCCAGGGGGCCCCACTGAGCAAATACGATGTTTTCAATCAGTGTCTAAAACTGTTTCCATATGTGATGATAGCACGGAGCAGTAAGAACAGACCTGAACCTCTTTCAAGACGCATTAACATGCTGAGTCCTTTTAGCATTGATCTTTTGTGAGGAAGAACAGGATCTCCTCTTCAAAATCTCACACGAAATTTGGCAGGAAATCTTTGCCCTTCAACATAAACAAACAAAACCAGACGTTCTAAGATTTCAGTTTCAGCATTTAACTCTGTGTAGTTACATGTGACTTTTCCATACATTTTCTCAGTTCGTAGGAATTTTGTAACTTGTGTTTGGCCATCTCTGAAACACTGGACAACACTGTGCTGCTAAGAGCAGAAAGAAGTTGAGTTCAAGGACATTCAACTTTCAGACGAGGCAACACTGAACTCCAAACAAAGTGATTACAAGAGAGCCCAGTCTGCCACCAAAATGTTTGCAAATATATATATAAAATTAAATGGAAACATCAGAATTGTGCAAAGCTGAACTACCCTCTGTCCTAGCACTACCAGTTTACCACAGCCCACATCAGGATCCAGAAGCCACAAGTTGTGCCAGTGATGAGGTGTGAGATTGAGCCTATGAAGATCTCCCTTTCTTGTCCTTTGTTTTAATGCTCATCTAGCCTCAACTTTCTGGAGCTTTGCACAATTTTTCCATCCCTGCTTACTCAGTGAGGCATCACTGCAGATGCCAACCAAGTACAAACGGGGTTATAACTGGGCAGGGCTTCCCTGGGATGTGAAGGACCCATTAGCACCTCTTCTTTGTCCTGTCACAAGCAGTGTGGCTGCCACCACCAGTCAATCATTGAAGTTTCAGCAACAATGAGTACATGAACTTGATTTAACTTTAGTAATTACAACCACTTTCAAAATAGTTTCTTGAAGCTTTTGGCACTGTTTTTGATGTTGAGTAAAAGCTATTTCCCCTTTGCCCACTCTGCCTGGAGCTTGTACCGCAGATGTAGCGCTGATGGACATGGTTAGCGGGCATGCTGGGATGGGCTGATGGTTGGACTCAATGATCTCAGAGGTCTTTTCCAACCTTAACAACTCCATGATCAGATCAGAAGTGTGTGAAGTTCACTGTCTTTCAGAATCTGGGGACTTTGCAGGGAAAATCCTACTAGCTTTTGCTGGGGTCGGTGTTTCCAGGAGCATTGCTCAACAATGTGACCATCTTTTCCTGCTAATTGTCTTGTAACAATTCCCACTTCTGTTCCTTTACGTATCTAACCCTCTCAATGGAACTGAATAAATAGTGCCAGTTGACTGGGGTATTTCCATCAGTTCCTGGCTGTTTTCCTTCTCAATGTCTGCGTTGATTTGTAACAAGAAATTCAGGTTGCCGAGTTTCACCAGTCTCATTCATCTGTCTGGCCAGGTGGTCGGCACAGAACTGACAACTGTCCCATGAGCAAACAGTGTCACTTCTTTTCAGTATACCAACCCAGCAGTGTGTCAGCAGGCTGGCTGGGTAGTGAGCTAACTGCCCAATCTCCTGCCTCATCCCATAGCTTCCTTTTTGCCTTTCCAGTTCTAAGAGCTTCTGAACTGTGGATTCTCAATTCCTGCAGTATCTGAAAGCAATGGGAAAATGACCAAGAAGACTTTTGCAAGGAAAACCTCGCCTCCTAGCAGCTCACTGCAGTCTCTACTGGCACTCATTTTACGTCTCCCACTCCTCCAGCACTTCATTTGTGGGTACTCCTGCCATTGCTGGCACAGCAAGCTCTCAGGCTGAAAACCCTGTGACCAGGCTGTGCCTCTTGGTAGGCTGCACATTAGATTCTGCCTTGACAGAGAGCAAGAGCCATTGGGTGGACGTGGATCAGCCCTAATTTAGTATAAGTAGTATCTGGTGTCATCAGAAGCATTCCTTTTGTGGGGAGTGTGACAGAGCAGCACGCACAGTGAATGGAAGAGCATGGGTAGAAAGAAAGTGTGGATTAAACTATTTCATAGCTGTCCTCCTCCACTAAAGTCAATGGCCACCAGGTTGTCATCTGAAACTGACCTATTTGGCAATAGCATTGTGCACTCACTAGCTAAACATTAGTGAAAACTAGTACTGCTCCTAATATTAGGCCTTCAAAAAATGCTCTAGCATTCCAAAGATATAGTAGTTGACTGAATTGAAAATGGAGAGGCCCAGGACTGTGTTCCACCAAATAAGCTTGTGGTACTAATAGGAATGGGAGGGTGGTTGGACTAGATGATCTTGCAGGTCGTTTCCAACCTTGTGATTCTGTGATTCTGTGAAATTCTTTACATTGAGGTTTTTTTAAGAGTTTACACTAAACTCTATAGGAAAACTCTTGCCTTTGAGCCCAAGTGTGGCATATTCAACATCACACCCGAATCCCATAGAGCAGGTGTGCATCGCAGTCCTTAATGTGCGCTGCTTAGCAGGAATTTGGACAGCCTTCTATTTCTGATAGTCTGTCACTGGATGCCATTTTACTCTTGCCTCTAGGACTTGTATAGGTGATACTAAATGTATTTGCTTAGATGCAGGTACAATTTATGCCAACTACATTAAAACAAAGCATCTCGCTGGCTTTACAGCTTTGTACCTCATTTGCTCTTGTGGTAAAGGGTGAATAAAGCTTAACTGGAGACATAATAGCAGCACTGTGAGAGGTTCCAGATTTGGTTTCTAATTGCTGACCTGTATTTAATGTTATTTAAAATTGTAAGGGCTCTTAAACCGCAATATCTGTCTCTTTTTTCACATTATAACCAAACTTTGATTAAAGCAGTTTTATGGCTTTATTTCCACTGTAAGCAGTGACTATAACGAAAAATACAGGATATATTAATAAACTAGTAAAGAATGTACATTTGATATATGTTAAAGAGCACTTTGGGTTATTTTATGAACTATTTAAGTATTATTAAGTCATTAAACTTTTCTTCTGCAGAGCAGTGAAGCAACTTGACTTAAACACTCAAGTATATATTGTTTTTATTAGCTTTGCAGCTACTAGACTGAGAAATGCAGTTACTACTTAAGCCTTTCAGTCAGGCTTTTGTTTTCAATAGCTGTAGTTCACAGAATCACAGAATGGCTTGGCTTGGAAGGGACCTTAAAGCCCATCCAGTCCCATCCCCCTGCTGTGCGCAGGGCTGTCAGCCAGCAGCTCAGGCTGCCCAGGGCCCCATTCAACCTGGCCTGCCCAGAAAAGCTGTGGATGCCCCATTCCTGGAGGCACTCAAGGCCAGGCTGGATGGAGCCATGGGCAGCCTGAGCCGCTGGCTGGCACTGCCCTGAGAGGGGATTGGGACTGGATGGGCTTTAAGGTCCCTTCCAACCCAAGCCATTCTGTGATTCTATGATTATGTCTTTAAAAAAAAAAAAGCTGTCATTCCAAAGATTCAGTAATTGACTGAATTGAAAATGGAAATGTTTGATCCAGGACTGTGTTCAACCAATTTTTTGGGAAACTCAATTATGTGAAGTAAACATAATGTGTTCCTTGCCCATCAGTCATCATAGAGAGCTCCAAAGAACACCTGTGATATTTGTATTTCTAGTTCTTTTGATGTATCACACCGATCCACAGTGATGTGTAGAAACAGTAGTGTAGTTTTTTGGGGTTTTGGATGCAGTTTGCCAGCAAGCACAGTTGGCTCAGGAGAAAAACATGTCACCAGGATTGCTGATAACAGTCTTGGCTTTGCAGTACATTTGTAGTATAAAAGATAAAGATAATCCCACTAGAATGTCTTTGTTATGAGCTGGTTATCTTCACAGTCATTAGAAAGATGCAGAAATGTAAGGGCTTCTTACACTAGATCCATTAAATCACTGTAAAGGAGCTTGTTTTCTCTCTACTGATTTAGAGCGAGAATTCCAGTGAGTAATTCCGCAGATCAGGTGAGACAAATTCTACCTTCTGTGTCAACAAATAAAACAGTTCCAGGCAAAATTCTCTTATCAGGAGATGGAGTTCTCCTCTAAAGCCTGTGCCTCCCATTTTCCCTTTCCCTTCGTATTCCATTTGTTATGATAAAGCAATTCCCCAATCTTTCACAGAAATGGCAAGCACGTACAGCTTAGTATGCTATTTGTTTTCCTGCCCAGAGTCATGGAGCCATTTCTCTGCTTCCTGAAGGGGAGGGATCCAACTATGCCTGGATGTGGAATGTGTTAAAGCCTCCTACTTCATAGTGTCTTGACATAAACAGGATAATATTCAGTCCTGGCTCCATAAAGTAATGTGGAAAGCATTTGGCAGCGTTCCTAAATTCTTGCTGTTTAAACATGAAGAAGCAGATCATTTCTGCATACCAGCACTGATTTATAGAAACTGAACGCTGTGCAGAATCCTTCCATTTAAACTAAGCAAGTGATGCAGGAGTTTCTGCATTCCCAGTGACACATTTGAGCCTAGTCATCTTCATATGCTGAAGGAAGCAACCACCCTGTCAAATACAGTGTTTAAATATCATTTGAAACTTTAACCATTTATTTCCTGAAGACTTCTGAAGGTACACTCCTCTGCATTTCTCTGTGTGCTACGTCCTTCAGAAGATTTTGGTTAACTTCACAAAGCTCAGAGCTATCACTTGGGTTTTATTTTAATGCCTCCCAAATTTTCTGTCCAATTCAAAGACTACATCCTTACTGTGTCTTGAGACAGTACGTGCGTACTCACAGTGGGTGAGACTCTGAGGAACAGAACAAATTTGCAGGGACCACCATTCTCCACAGTGAGCACATCTGAATACAATTTATTTTTAACAGGCCTATGGTATCCTACCTCTCCTCCACTGAAGGTACACTACAGCACTGTTAGTAATTAAAAGTTTTGTGGTTATGCTGATCATAGAATCATATCATATCATATCTATGATCAAAGATCATAGAATCACTGGATATTTTGAGTTGGAAAGGACCCCTAAAGGCCATCTGGTCCAACTCCCCCACAACAAACAGGGACACCTACAGCTTCGTCAGGTACTCAGAGCCCATCCAGCCTGACCTTGGGTGTCTCCAGGGATGGAGCATCCACCACCTCTCTGGCCATCCTGTTCCAGTGCCTCACCTCTGTAAAAAAGTAGTAAAAAACCTCTTCCTTGTGTCCAATCTAAATCTCCTCTCTTTCAGTTTGAAACCATTTCCCCTTGTCCTGTCACAGCAGACCCTGCTAAAGAGTCTGTTCCTTCCTTCTTACAGCTCCCCTTTAGATAGTGAAAGGCTGCTTTCAGGTCTCCCTGGCAGACCTTCTCTTTTCCAGGCTGAACAGTCCCAGCTCCCTCAAAAATGATCACCAGGAGAGGCGATCATTTTTGCTGCCCGCCTCTGCATGCACTCCAACAGGTCTGTGTCTCTCCTGTGCTGGGAACTCCACATCTGGATGCAGTACTCCAGGTGAGGCCTCACAGTGCAGAGCAGAAAGGCAGGATCACCTCCCTCGTCCTGCCAGCCACACTGCTGTGTAAGGATATGGTTGATTCTCTGGGCTGCGAGGGTCCATTGCTGGTTCATGTCCAGCTTCCCATCCACCTGTTCATTCAGGTCCCTTGCGGCGGTGCTCCATGCTTACATCCCCCAGTTTGCACTGGTAGCAGAGGTTACCACAACCCACGTGCAGGACCACGTGCAGGATTTATTGAACCTCAGGAGGTTCTCCTGGGCCCACTGCTCAAGGCAGTCTAGGTCTCTCTCAATGGCATCCTGTTCCCCAGGTGTATCAACTGCACCAGACATCTTGGCATCATCTGGAAATGTGCTGAGGGTGCACTCAATCCCACTGTTCATTAATTAAGATGTTAAAAAGTACAGATCCCAGTAATGACCCCTGAGGAACACCACTTGTAACTGATCTCTATCTGCACATCAGTGCATAGATCACCACTCCCAAGGTACGATCCCATTTCCCTGTCCACTCATCAAATCCATACCTTTCCACTTTGGAGAGAAGAATGTTATAGGGGACTCTGTCCCTTTCCAATTTGGAGAGAAAGCTGTTATGGGGGACTGTGGCCTTACTGAAGTCCACATAGATTACATCAGTGGCTCTTTCCTTGTCTACTGATGCAGTTACGCCATCATAAAAAGCAACAAAGTTGGTCAGGCAGGACCTGCCCTTGGTGAAGCCATGCTGGTTATCCCGTATCACATCCTTCTCTTCCATGTGCCTTAGCATATTTTCCAGGAAGATCTGCTCCATGATCTTCAGCTGCACTGAGGGGATCCTGGAGAAGTGGATTTAAACTTCTGGGAGAATTCTTCCAGCACCTCCATTAGCTTCTCCTCATCCCCTGGTAGGCTGTGGGTTCTTGCTAAGGGCAGGTGTGTAGGGACTGGTTGCCTGTCTGGAAGAAAGAAAGAAAGAAAAAATCTTAATAGGTATATATATTCCTATATATCTTCAAGCACAAAAGAGATTTTTCATCTATGCTCTATACTAGTTATTTACATCTACCAAACCAGAAATTAATTTCCTTTGTTTCCTGGAACCAGAATAATTGGCCTTTCACACAATATGACTCAGAGTGGTGAGTGAGATCTCATTTGCAGATGGATAAAGGAAGGCCTTGCTGTGGGGTTTACGCCTGCTCTCAGTCACTAGTTTGACTCCTGTTAGACCAGGAGCTTGTGACTATTCTTAAAGATAGAAGTTGCATTTTCTGCATCAGAAAGGGTTTTTCACTGTCTCCTGGGTAATGCTTCTAGTGCTACACAGATTTCTCAATTGGGACTTTGTAGTTTGGATTACTTGCTATCTTTAAAAGCTTACTTTCATCCTTAAAAATAAATGGATAAATTCTACATGCCAAAGAACTTCTGCTAATTATTCAACTGCCACAAGTAATGTGCACACAATAAAGATGTTTGACCAAACTTATTCAGTGTGATACTTTGGCTGGCTTTCCATACGTTGTTCTCCTCACTCTGTAAATGCAACTGTACCACTGTGGATTTGAAGGGATTTTTTTCTCTCAAAAAGCATGGCATCTGGAGCTGAGGAACCTTATGGAAGTGCTCTTAGATGTCTAGGAAACAACTGTGAGAGCACTAGTGCAGCACCATTACTTTACTTACGAAGTCCAAGTTCTGCATTAACCAGCTGAGACGAGAGAATAATCTGTTCCAACGGTGGGCAGCAGATTTCTCTGAAAGCCTATCAGGCTTCTCAGGGGAGCAGAGACGTTTCATCTCTTTAGAGCAAATGTCATAACTGGCTGCACACACCACATAACCTCTGCTCAGGGAAACGCAAGGAGAGAGAAACAGGCAGAGGAACATTCCTTTCTCTGTCACTGAACATGGACTGCTTCCTAAGTGACGGGGGTGCTTCAAGAAGTTTGTGCTCAAGTTTGGGAACTATGTGTGAAAGCTGAGCTCAGTATCGCAGAAAGGATGCTTCCAGACTTGGAAAGCAGGACCCTGTCAGACATTTTTTATTTATTTTGGCAGATGCAGAGAATTCTGGTTGTAGGAGTCATGTTCTTACCTTTTTTTTTCCCTCAGGAAAAAGAAATGCTGGCTCTAGTTTGCACTCAAAGGGAACAGAATAAAACGGAACAGAGGAAATGGGGGGAAGGTGTTACTGACTCAGGAAATGGCCGTCTAGGACCAGAAGGGTCTGTATTGACTCCAGCACCTTAAACCCTTTACTAAAGGATCCAAAGACCTTACACTCTAACCTGTGGCACCCATAAGGCATTGGGGGAGAGAAAAAACTGTCTGACTCCATCTCTATGCAGTAAGCACACAACATAAAAATTCCCCTGCAATCTTAAGAGCAATCATGCCAAAGTTCTCAGAAGTCATTACCTACAGCTGAAGAGCCAACGCATGTTTCCTGTTTACTAAGGCCAGAGTTAGACCAAGGCCAAAAGCAAGAGACTGTTGGAATTAGGATCCAGAGCATGGATTCTTCTGAGAAGAAGTCAGGATCAGCAGGAGATGACAGGAGTACAAAAAAAAAGGTAATTCTGGGGCTATAGAGTGGAATGACCAGTTGGGAGGTGTTGTTTCTGCATGCACCACATGAAGACATGCAAAAGGTCAGGTGAAGTATACCAACCCAGTGCAATGCCTGGGAGGGAACAGAAAGGACAAAGTGAACCCAGCTCAAAAAGTCCAAACTTTCTGCATGCTCCAACTAGAAACTCCAGTGAATTGGAATTTGACATCCAACATGCAGCGTGGGGTGCCTGTAAGCAGTTATCCCAAGCTTTGCCTTCCTCCTAGTGGACTGACCTGCATCAGGACTGAGACATCTATGCTTCCAGCTGCTTTCTCTCAGGTGCCTGCCACCTGTCTGAGAGATGAGGCTCTGGCCTATTTCTTCCACTTAAATTCATTATGCTAGTAATGCCAAAAAAAGCCACTGTGTCCTGATCTCTGCCTGGCTTCAGAGAAAAGGGGTATTGGCAGTTTCACATGAGCATGGAGAGGTAGGAAGGAAGAACCTGTCAAAGCACAGCCAATCCTCAGCGCTCTGTGAGAGGGCTGCTACTTTCCCAGCATCATAAAAGATGCAGTTTTGGCTGCTGTGATTTACCTTCCATTGGCACAGTTCTGCAAACAGCCATCTTCATTCAAACCAAGAAAACTTCCCTAAGGAAATGCTCTGAAGTCTCTGAGCTGATTTAGAGGACAAAAGTAGGAACACAACAGCTTAACAGTCTTTCACAGGACTTTCTCCTTACTTTCTTAAGAGCTCACTTCAACTTTTAGTCTTGGGATAACTTTGAGAAACCCTTTACCTGTTGAAAATCAGCTGCCTGGTCCAGTCTCCATCCCTTTCCAGGCCAGATTAGGATGCTACAATTGCAGTTAGCAGTCTCCATTGACATGCAATGACAGACTCACCTTGGAAGAAGAGGCCACTGGGTAACTTTGCTGCCTCAGATGATACTGCCAACCACACCACAGTATCAGCTCCCTGCGCCTCTGTACGCAGGCTGTTCTTCATCTTCTGATAGAAGTCTGGCATCGAGGACCTCACAGCTAGAGAGCACAAAGGGATGGTGGGCTACCATGCAAGGCTTTTATGATTAAAAAAAGTTATGTTTAAAATCGCCATTGTGAGTGTACAATGAAAGGAAGGCTTCTCAAAAATAATGAAAGTATTTCTCCACAGCCAGGCACATGGTGACCACGGTGGAATAGCGTTAAGCTGCCAGATGATCAAGCAATTGCTTGTTTGGATCAAATTGCACTAAGAAAATTAACAAGAGGTGAGAACAGGATTAGCGAGAGGTTTCTGATCCAATTCCAAAGAAGTTAAACATGGGGGAAATAGAAATACCAAATAAACAGGTATTCTGATAGATTTTAATTCTTATTTTCACATCCGTTTTAGGAAATCAATTGCAGCACAGTGTTTCAAAATTTTATGGTGAAACTAACTACATATTCGGTGTTTAAACACTGGATTATTTATATTTTATATAACAGATGATGACTGAAGGCCTGTCTCCTGCAGCTGTTTATTTTTAGGGGATTGGGTAGCCCTTGAACTTTATGGTGGCATAACATTAAAGATCATTAGGTTTGGGAACGCATCAACGATGTGCAATGTAAATATATTTTAAAGAAAAAGTAACACTAAGATTTGGACAGATTAATTTTCAAGCAAAAAGTAGATGGGTTTAAATGTTTCTATTGTAAGAAACAAATTTGGAAAACTGTGTCCCTGGGAAAAAAAAATAATAATAATCAGATATTGGATTGCTAGTCTGCAGCTCAAACTGGGGTGTGAGGGGCTGAGAACATACTGCAGAACACAACCCGCATGCTGGCCCTCCTGCTGAGCCAGGCAGTAACGAACAGCTGCAGCTCAGACAGAGCTGTCTAGCCAAGCACACCACTTCTCCATGACTATAAATGTTTAGAGGAGGAGCAGAGGAACAAGGCATGCACACGATGCGTGCTTGTTTTTCCTGTGCATCCTTGAAGGCTTGCAACATCGGCACACTGGTGCTCGCAGAGGCAGAAGCTGTCTCTATGTGTTTAACAGTCCTGTTGCAAATGTAATTTAGAGGTTAGCTTCAAGCACTGAGGCTTTTCTGTGCATTTGCATGGGGCTGGAATCATTTGCAGCCCTTTATTATTCTCCAGCTCCACGCAGATGGCAGACATTGTGCAGGATAGGACTACCAAGGGAGTACAAAACTACTCTAAGCACCAGTTCAGAGACAAGAAATGACTGCACCTGCTAGAGCAATTTAGCAGAAAGTCTCTCTTCTGTTTGCTTATAGGCTAGTCTAGAAAAAAAAGGCAGTTTGAGTGTCAAGCAAATGATACCTGGAGTGTCTGCCCAGCCCGGGTGCATAACAGAGAAATGGATGCTTCTGTGAGTTTTTGCCCATTGTTCTGTCAAGACAACTTGCTGTCTCTAGAATAGAGCAAGAACAGCCAGATTAGCATCAAGTCTGACATCCTCTCCACAGTGTTTGTTCCCAGGGAAATAAACTATACCAAATGTGCAATATCATGGCACTTATGTATAGCAGAAATATATCCTTGCTCACCCACATTGGGCTTAGTGAGTAATTTCGGCAGAGACCATCATGATCACCATCATGATCACCATACCCACAAGCTTATTCTTAAAGGGGTTACACTGCTTTTACTCACCATTTCTGCTTGCTGCAGACTGCAAGGAAGAATCAAGCAAACAGAAAGGGATTGTCAGCTAAAGACAGCGTTCCCCACTGAAACTCAAACCAAATGAAAGTCATGTTCCCCCTGCCAAGGTGATATGCACCAAAAGTGTGTGACATCAACAGAAGATTATTGCCTGCATATCTCTGAACAGGTTGGATGCAATGGGAAAGCCACAGCAAACTTTATATGTGTGTGTGTGTGTGTGAAGGCTTTGTGCAAAGCAGATGGTATGTCAGCATGCAAATAAGTGCTAGGCTTCGTTTTCAAAACCAGGGCTGTACCTTGTTTTGAGCATACACCATAGTTCCATCAAACGTCCCACTTCCTGACTGCAAGTCAGATATGTCTAGTTTTTGAACTAGCATGCCCCCAGAAGAGACAGTTACCTGCAAGCAAATGAATGAAAAACAAATGAAAAAGCAAACAACTCCCCAGTGTCATTACTCATGCATGTGAATGAGTAATTCACATGTAATTCCACATTTTGGAATCCCTGGGAGCAGGACTCTCCTGCCCATTCCCCGCTGTGCTTGTGCTCATGCTCATACAGGGAGCTTACCTGGAGATACAGTGGAAGAATTACTTTTAAAAAGAAATGAACAATTGATTTTCATTCAAAATGGTGTCGACTCCATCAGGGAACTCTTTGTCTTTTTTTGCTTTCAAAGTGAAATTGGCAGAAAGAAAACAGCAAAACAGCACTATTTGTAGTTTATACCTTTAGCATTTAATATAAGCTAATTAGAAACAAGAGATACTATATAAAACTTAGGAAATTTCATGTTAAAAATGTACTTTCTGTCCTATTCTAAATTCCAAATACCAAAACCAGTAAAGGTTTTTAAGCCTATACTCCTGTTATTAGTATTTTGCACTATACTGCAGGAGATAACTAGCCCCAGGGAAACAAAAAAGGAAAGTTTCTAAAGGAAATATTTTACTCTGCTTTCCAATGAAGGGTTCAGAGCAGCAGGCAAGAACTGGAGAAGGAGCTCGTTGCTGGCAAAATCCAAGAGGATACTAGAGATGCTCATGGAATTATAAATAATGCTGCATTGCTAACATAGGCAAAGAGATGCTGTCACAAATCACAGGAAAAGAATTGTTAAACACCACTTTCCAACAGCATCCCAAACTTACCACTCTGGCATCAGCTTCCTTTTCTAGGAGGGGCAGCAGGGCAGTTGTCAGAACGTATGTACCTACAAGGCAGACAGACACCAACATTAACTCCTCTTTCCAAAAGCTTTTTTTTCTCCCTGCCCCCTATAACCAAATTCCCTTTATTTTTGAAACTTCATCTGAGCTTAATGATTCTGTTGCTGCGTTACTTACCATCTTGTCTCAAAAGGCACATCAGTTTTTTTTGCAGGCTTTTATGTCTATCTTATCTGTAAAAAAAAAAGGTTCCCTACATTCCAGCTGTGCCTCTGAAGGTTGCATGGCTCAGGTATGGATTTCTCTGGGGAATGAGGTAACACCAGCGAGGAAGTAGGGAAGGTGTTTCCACTCTGTGTGAATCATATGTACACATAGCTATGCTGGGCCATGAAGAAGAGAAACAAACCATGCTTCACAAGTGCATCCCTCCAAGTGGTTTTGTGGTGAGAAGGTAAAAATATCACAGAGTACTCCAACACTGTAGATTTCTGCTGCATAAAAAATCATAGAATCATGGAATCCTTAGTCTTGGAAGGTCTGAGGACCATCTAGTCCAACTCCCCTGCACTGAACGGGAACACAACACTTCCATCAGGTTGCCCAGGGAGAAAATACTCATATCGTGTGTCCAAGGCTGAGCTAGGTTTACTTGGAGAAACTCAACTGTGTATTTCCACACTTTGATCGTGTTCATTTAGCATAATTTGTACAAACAGCACAAATATATTCCATTACAGCTGTTACTATAACCAGCAAAGTTTGTTATTCAGAGCAGTGCTCATCTGCTGGCATGTTTGGTTCAGACACACCTAGTGCTGCTTCACCCGTTCCAATGCAATGGAGGGATTTTTGTTTGTTTCTGTCTCTTACAAGAGACTTTTCTTACATTTTTTTCCCACTGAAAACTATGTTTTAGAAGTTCCACTGAACTCCAGATAAGTCCAGCCCCACTCAGTCTAGCATTTCTGCATCAAGCACAACACTTCTCTTGTCTTTCCAGAAATGGCTTCAGTTCAACAGCTCCATCTCAGCGATAAACGTGTTTTTTTCCATGAGCCACAGAGGCCATGTTTTTCCCTACACATGAAGACTTCAGCATGTGTCTTTATAACCCCTCTTCCACAGAGGCGATGAGATCACCCAGTTACAATACAGCGTGTTTATAAATATGCTAGCACAGCTAAATGCGTTACATGCCTGGTGAACAAACTGTTCGGCTCTCCCGTCAGTCACAACAGCCATCCTTTTCTCTGTAGCATCACTGGGACATCCATATGCAGATGATATATTTAAAACCCAAGCAGATTAAAATGAAGGCACAGCAGAGCAGTAAGAGCAGCCTGCCTGCAGCAGGAAACACAAGCAAAGGAGCAGCCAGCGAGCAGTGAGAGCCCATGTGTCCCCTGGGGACCACAGCCAGTGACATCATGAGGACAAGGGCCATGGTGCATCAGGGACTGCTGCAATTCACTACAAGCTGAGAGTCTGGATTAAATTCTGGTTTGTGATGGATTCTTCAAATGCAAAGTAACAGCATGTCTTGGTTAAAGGCACTGCATTTCCTGAAGGAGAAAGCTGAGCTGCAGAGCACCAGCGATGGCAGTGCTTGGTTTTACTGTCCTGCAGATAGACACTTTCAAGAGGCTTCGGTTTTGTTTGTTAGTTCTAAATGTAATAGGATTGTTTCATTAATGCCAGGCTTTGTTTTGCTTTCCAGCTGGATGAGAGAAAAGTTCAATGCCAGTAATCCTGCTTATAGCAACTACAGCTTGTCAGAAGTTTATTTAAAACCACAAAGTAACTGCAGAGCCACTGTCTCCTCTGTTCCACGAGTTTATTAGGAACTCACTAAATCCCACACAGCCAGAGCATCAGACGCTTTGCCCACTGAACCATTTGCTCTTGTACTTTGAGGCAGTGTGAAAAGACACGTTTCAATCCTGGTCTCCCCCAGCAGCATTTCCTCTAAGGCCAGGTTGGATGGGGCCCTGGGCAGCCTGGTCTAGTATTAAATGTGGAGGATGTCGGCCCTGCTTGTGGCGGGGGGGGGGGAGGGGGAGGTTGGAGCCTGATGATCCTCGAGATCCCTTCCAACCCAAGCCTTGCTATGATTCTGTGATTCTCCAACACACAGAGATGTGTCAGGCATTAAAAGCAAAGCATTCCATCCCTTCTGCTTAGAAATACTTCACCAACTGCTGACCCAGTCTTAAGTGTCCAGACACAAATTCCTTCATATTTAAAAAAAATACACTTGAATATTATACATTCATGGACTGATCTGTCAGGCTAAACAGCCTGGACAAGAAACTCAGTAATAAGAGATTAATGAGGCGTATGATTGGTTGGAATGCATTATTATTGATTGAAACCTCTGCATTGTTCCCCACGCAGAGCTGGCACATAGCTGGGGAGTCGTGTTCAAACTGACAGGAGTGGTGCTAAAGGCAGGCAGTGCAGGCTGTCACAGCCATGCACCGCGTGGCACAGACTGTGCCAAGCACTGCTGTACTGCAGCATGCCGTAATGCAGAAACAGATTTCTAAGGAAAAGGGTAAGCTGCAAATGAATGCTTTGCAAATGTCTTTACAAAAACATGAATTGCACGGGCAGTATAAAAATAAAAAAGAGAAAACTTAGTATTTTTAGTACCTTTTTTCTTTTTCTGAGGAAAACCAAGATTCTAACTTGGTAGAAGAGACTACAATTCCCCTCCTTGCTTAAGGAGATCAAAGCAAGATTCAAATTATTTTTTTTGCTAATAATTGATTATTCATATCAACAAACTGGACATCTGTCTTTCGAAAATGAACACTGCAACACCATTCCTTTCAGTATTTGAAGGGAGCTTATAAGCAGGAAAGAGACAGACATTTACATAATCTAACAGTGATAGGTTAAGGGGGAATGGCTTTGAATTAAAAGAGGGGAAAATTAGGTTAGATATTAGGAAGAATCTCATTACTGAATGGGCACAGCTGCCCAGAGAAACTTGTGGGTGCCTCATCCCTGGTGGCACTCAAGGCCAGGTTGGATGGGGCCCTACGCAGCCTGAGCTGCTGGCTGGCACTGCCCATGGTAGGGGGTTGGAACTGGATGGGCTTTAAGGTTTCTTCCAACCCAAGCCAGTCTGTGATTCTATGAACATTCTAGCAATGCCCTTGACACAAAAAATATTTTTGTCTGTTAAAAGAGAAAGCTCTTCCCCCACAGTTTAGCTAAAATAAGCATTCCAAATGTGATTAATGCTTGACTAGCACTGTATTCAGTCTCTAGATTATTTGAAGTCTTTTTCTTTGCTGTTTAAAAAGACCAAAAGGAACTCAAAGTGGCATGGAGGGTAAAATGACCAACAGCAATGCTCCTTGTACTGGAACAGCAACAAGCAGAGAGTATCCTGGCGATCCTGATCTTCCATTTTGGGATTCTGACAGAAACCAAACGAAACTTTTTCAGGTAGGTGAGGAAATGCCAGTACTGCTGAGAGTATTCTGCAGAAAGCATGCCCTTGTCTCTCAATTAGATACTGTGCAAATGGAGCTGCTCAGCCTCGATGCTGGCACGCAGAGTCCACTCCCCAGATCCTGCCACTCCGACAGAGGAGGTGCAAAGAGCCCACTGGGCCATAAGGCAACCGGAATCAGGATGCCTGTGCCTGAGCAACTCACCTGGGCCAAGGCCATTTCCTGCACAGGTCTGCAGGGTGCTCGAGAAGAATTGCAGACTGCTTGGAATTACTCAAGCAGCATCCCCTTGTTTTTTGTAGTGAAATGGTACACACCACTTCCCTTTGCAAAGGAGGATTTGCAGAGCTGCAGAGGAGCCCAGCAAGATGAAACAGGAGCTTGCTCAGAAGCAGCAGGAATGCAGAAGCAGGTAACAAAGCCTCCAGTCTGTCACCCACGTGTCCAGGATTTCACATTGCCCTGACTGAACTCTGATGAGGTGAAGAGTCAGCTAGAAAAGCCTATTGTACAAGCTGCAGCCCTGTTCCATGTACTGCAGTCTGACACAGAACTTGCTGGCCACATTTTCCCGAGTAAAAGAGGCTCCTGGGATTGTTGCATAATCCCTTTCAAAGATAAACATCCTCCCTCCACATTTGGTTTTCTTTGTAAAAATTCCTCTAAGTTTTATGTCTTAAAGCTGAGCTCACGTAATAGGAAATCATGTATAATAGCCTGTAATTCAAATCTTTCCTATAAGGATACAGCTATTCCACCACTACAGACCATTCAAACAACTGTGCCATGTGGTATGCAGTTTGCTCTGAAAGTAATGCTTCCTGTTTACTTCCGTGGAAACGACAACAGATAAAAAAGATCACAATAACACTATTTGATAGAGTAAATTCTCAGCTACAAAACACTATTTTTCAACAGTCACCATCATTAGCTGTGCATTTTCTCCACCAAGAGCCTGCATGCCACGCTTGTAAAATCTGCACCAACAGAAGTGACCCACTGTTTCACAGCTGCTAGGGCAGCGTTGTTACTTTGCTCCTGAAGTCCATCTTTCTCTCATCTGAAGTCAGAGGGAGCCAAATCTGAACTATCAGAAGGAGTGGTACATCAGTCAAGCAAAGACTGGCAATGTGTGGGTCTTAAAGTCGTTACACGGCCTGGCATTACTGTGTTACAAAAGAAAGGTTTTCTTCTTCTCTGTCCTGACTCTGCAAGTTTGAGCCTTCAGCATAGTCAGTGTCATGAAACACTGACTGACCAGAGCTGATGGTTTGTCCGGGTTCCAGACAATCGAGAGGGATCACCCATTTCCTATCCCAAAAGACAGTGCACATCACTTTATCTGCTGAGGACTGCTTCTTGAACCTTTTCTTCAATGGGGAATTCACATGTCACTGCTCTATGGACTGCTGTTCTGACACCACGTCTTGTCACTGGTAATGATGTGATCCAGGAAACTCACTTTCAGTCTCATATTGATTTGATAGGTCCTGACAAACTTGTATGCGCTGTTTTATCTGTTCCCATATGAGCATCTGTGGGACCCATCTGGTGCTAACTTTGCAATATTCCAATGT